AGTTTCAGCTCTGGACCCTCTCCAGAACTCCAGGTCTATGTTCCCATTCCCTATTTCTTATTTCACTTAGATGGCAACAGACATCCTAAACCTCATATAGCCTAAACAAAAACTTTTCAATTTCCTTCAAAGCAAAATGTATACAAAATATTTCTGTCTCACTCTTTTCTATTTCAGTAAATGACACCACCATCATCCTAGATACTCAAGTCAAAAATTGAGAAATTATTCTTAAATTTTCTTTTTCCCCCATTTCCTGATATCAACAATTGACTCAATCTCCTGAATGTATTCAAAATCTGTTCATTACTTCCATGGCCACTGTGATTGCCCTAGTTTAAACTACTCTCTAATTTAAAGCATAACAACAAAATGAACACTATGAACACTTAAGAACCCACCATTCAATTTAAATACTACAAAATTACCAACATGTCCTTACCCCTGGCATGCCTCCCCAGAAGTAATCACCAACCTGGATTGTAGGTTTATCATCCTCATACTTTCCTCATAGCTTTCTGAAATCTCTATACAATTATTAGTTTTGCTTGTTTTTGAACATAATCAAGATTGTATTTTATATAGTCTTTTGCAACTCTTTGTCTATCAGCACTCTATAGCACTCTAACACAATGCCTCCATTGATTTTAGTATGGATGAAACATCCCTATTTCTATGAAGAAAGAAGCTTGATCTTCACTTGTGATCTTGTTGAAACATTATATTTCTTTAAAAAAAACAAAGAGGGAATATTCAAATATTTGAAATGCTGCTGAGAAGTCCAATGAAATAAGAATAGACAAGTGATAGATATGACAACACAGAGTGTACTGCCAACCAGTAGTAGTGGGCACAAAACCTCAGCTGGGATGAGTTAAGAGTGAGTGTGAGGTGAGGAAATAATGGGAGTGACAATTCACAACTCTTTAAGAAGTCCTGTGAAGGGGAGGAGAGATGCAAGGCAGTAGTTGGAATGGGATGTGATGTTAGGAAGTTCTTTGTCTCTTTGTTTCTGTTTTTACAATCAGAAATAATATAGTATATTTACATATTTATTGGTGACTCTAGTTAATCCTACAATGATAAGGGCCTGGCAGAGAGAGTGAGAAGTTAATAATATAAGAAAAGTGGAAGAGAGATTCTTGATAAAGCAAGAGAGGATGGGATTCAGAACTCAGGTTAAAGGATTGAACTTTGATGGAAGTAGAGATGATTCATCCCTAGTAAAATCAGTGAGGGTGCTGTGTTAGGGAATAGATGGTGAAGTTTGAAAGTGTTCACAGTGGAAAGATGAGGGAATTCTGGCCTGTATTTTCCCTTTTGCTCAGTGGGGTTTGAGGCAAAGGCATCAGTTGAGAGAAACATATCATTGAATGTGGGTAGGTGGACAGGCTGACAGGACAGCCTTTGAGAAGGAACACCCGTGTGGATGATAGGCTATAAAGCACAGTGACAGAAAGAGGGGCTGTGATCCCACATTCCTGAGATATCCCTCCTGATTTTCATCTACCACACGTGAGTGTGGATCCAGCCCTTTTCACATTTCCACATCTCTGCCCCTCCTGTCAGTCTGGATGGATGTGGATTTAATTCCATAGTTGTCAGACTTCCATTCAACTCAGTTTCTGACAGTTCTGAGTGATGGTTGTTCTACAGTTTAGTTGTAATTTTCATGTGCTTATGAGAGGAGGCTAGCCATGTTTACCTATACCTCCATCTTGACCAGAAGTCCTAAAACTAGATTTTAGATAAATATATCACAGCCTAAAGAGTGGGGCATTAAAGAATCAAGGAAGTGAATGACTTGTTTCACTCTCTTGCCCTGCTTAGAGCACAGCTTGGACAAAAAAAAAATGTGTGCATTGCATTTCGTCTACTACCTGAAACCTCTCAAGATATGCCTTTTCCATATTTACTTTTTGTTAAATCCTCCAGTTTCATTGTTCTTAGAGATCTTTATTCTTCCTTTCAATTCCTGGTAAAACCTCTGTGAAGGGACAGCTTTATACCCCTATTCCGTTGCCCTCGTCCACAGCCCTGTGCCTGGGCTTCAGATGGGAATGCTAATCTCAAGAGCAACTCATTGATTGGCTCTCATTTGTTTGCCACACATACAGTTTCATGGAATCCTGGAATCTGGGGATTTTAGAGTTGAAAGAATCCTCAAGGTCATTTAAGTCATTTAGGCCAATATCTTGCTTAATTAAGTATCTTTTCTTTCCGCCCCCCCCCCCCACCCACCATTGGTGACTCTAGTTAGCCCTACAATTTTTCCCTTTTCATAGGAGCTAGTTTCACCCCAGGAAAGGCAACTTTCATTTTGCAATGTTTATATATTTAATCATTTGGACCCATTTGTTTTGTAATCACTTTGACATATGAGCGTTTGACTTTCCTTTTCCTACCTGCTTATAATAGTTTTAATCTGTCTTTTATTATTACACAACACTGTGGTTAGACCTTTAAGTGACTTTGTGACAGCTAAATGTCAAACATTCTCTTTAACATTAGCCCTTACATTGTGTTAAGCAACAGTGGTTTGACACCCCTGGTCATGAAATGCTACACTTTGAAACTCACACAGATTCAACTAATGATTTCTTTCCCATAGTGGCTTACACTGAAGGTGGCCACCATTAAAATTTCAGTTTCACTTGCAATTTCTCCTTTGAAGAGACTAAGATTCTAGAATTCCATGTTTAGCTCTATAATAAAATGATAGGTTATAGATCTTTAGTAAAGCAATAAATGTTTCCTTTACATTTCTTACCAATATGTGATTAAGTGAAAACATTTAGCACTAAGGAACAAGTCAACTGGCTTTGACACTGAGCATACCCAGGTTTCCATATCCCGATTATGTGTCACTGTTTGGATTATCAGGTTTGTGAAGTATTCAGACCTTTGTTCAGCATAACGAACTGTAATGGAAAAGCAGGGTCTTTGGAGACCTAGGCTCAGCTCTCAGTTTTGCCACTTACCAGCTGTATGTCTCTTGTAAATCATTTAACCTTTGTCAGCTGTAAATTAGGTGTAATCACATGCACCCCCTTCAATATGTGAGGATTAAATAAGATAATGTATATAAAATGTCCAACTATTACCTGACACATAATAAGTGGTTAATACATGTCAGGTTCCCTTTCCTTCTGTTGCCTGTACATTTTCCTTTTTTTGCATCTGGACTAGCAGGAAAAAAAGTCCTAATTTGATTCCTGGGTTTTCTTCATAATCCTAAAGGATTGAGATTTTTGTGATGTTTTATGTATGTATTTCTTTCTGCTAAGTCCTCACTGCAAGGGTAAATACTACCACTAGTGGACAGAAAGGGGAAAGAAAAGAAGTGAATGTTGAGAAAAAAAAAAGAGGGCAAGAGATGCAGGAAGAGGGAGTAACAAAGGAAGAAACTGAACACAAAAGAGGCACGTCTACTGGGGAATTATAGAGAAATCATTAGCCTTCTCAGATTCAAGCAACTTTGTGGTGCAGAGTGAAGACCATGAAATTAAACAGATATGTGTTCAAAGCCTGGCCTCTCTGAGCATTAGTTTTGGGACCTTGAACAATTCCTTTATCTCTCAGCACTTCAGTTTTCAAATGAAGAAAACAACAGCTAAATTTATTGAGTATTTAGCACATTTCAGCACTCTTCTATTCATTTAAATTCTCACAACAGTGCCATGTGATGTACAGAATTATGATCCTCACTTGACAGATGAGGAAACTGGCTTAAGGATGTGGTTACCAGTTGTTCAAGATCACAGAGCTGGGATTTGCCCATAGATGCCTAGCTCTGGAGCTCACACTTTAACCACTGCAATATAGCTGCAGACGTCATGGCGATGAGGGGGACATGAGCTGTAACTGTGAATGAGCCCACACAGGACTTGCCCATAGTATGTGCTGGTACATGTGCTCGCTCCCTTTGTCCCCTTCTCTTCTCCTCCCCTGGCTGCTTGTCTTCTGTTATCCAGGTGAAACTTAATTTTCTAGAAATCTCCATCTGGTTTAATGGAACTTCCTGCTACAGAATAAACCTCATTATAGCCTCACCACAATTACACTCCAACTGTCACTGTTAACTAAGTTAGGTTGGTGCAACTGAAGCCTGTTTTCAGGGGTTGCTTGTATTGACTCCCCCTTGGCTATAAATCAAAACAAATCTGATACAGGAAGAAATAAAACTACTTCACCCACATATATACACACACGTGCACACAAACTTTTACACACAGGAGTTGATTATTTAGTTTTCAAGCATGTTTGATTGACTTTTTCATATTAAATTAGGTCATATTTGACCATTGTCCTATAAATTGGTGGCTATTTCTACTATCAGTTCAGCCTGTGTTTTAGCATCAAGTAGATAATGTTGCCTGATTTGTACATTCATCATGTAACAAAGAGTTATATAAAGAGAGCCTATTATATTCCAAGCATGGTGCTAGATAGGAGAAATATTAAGATGCATGAGATAGGCCTTTCTTTCAAGAAGATCATTGTCTAGTGATCATAAAACCAAATAATAGTACTGTGATATTAGGTCAGAAATGGAGGTGAGTGCAAAGTTTATTATTCATATTTTGTACTTTTATAGGATCAAAAAATGTTTTCCTTATGATTTATGTCTTTAGTTTTGACTGAGAATTCTTGATGCATTCCAATAAAAAAGGAAAAGCCACACACACTTTAAGTTATTTTATTAATATGTTTTAAAAGCAAGTTAGGAATCTAATTTCCTCCTCCTCATTTTTTAAATTTTGTTTTTAAGGTAACTGTGAGCTTTCTATGGCCAAAGATATACATGTTCATTGTTTAACAAAAGAAAAAGAAAAATACTGGGGCACAAAGAAAATTGAAAGTATCTTATAATCCTACTCTCCCAGAATTGTTTATCAAATAACCCATTGACTATTAAAGGTTTTATACTTGTATATGTGTATGTGTTTACATATATGTAAATATTTATATGAAAATATGTTCTTTCCTCTTTAAATCAGAGCCTACTGGGTCACTAGATGTCTGGTACATGAAACAGAACATTGACTACAGTAAACAACAGATTTCTCTTTTCTGGAAGGTAAGTTTTCCATGTCAATTTGAAATTCAGGAGAATTATATATTTGTGATTTTTTGTTTTTATTGAAATATAGTTGACATATAAAGAGAATTATATAGTTGAACAATACATTTCAAGGATGGAAAAAGATTTTTTATCTTCATGGTGGCTTTCATAGATGAGGTTTCAGAGATTTTGTTGGAGCTCGTTTTCACAGCCATATCTTCAAGATACTTGACTCAGTGTCATTTACTTTTGCCAGGAAAGGGTGAGAGCTCAACCGAGTTCCTTCCTCCACACAATCACGTCTTTCCCTCATCTACTTCCTCATCTTTCTCTCATCAGGGTCCCTTCCCTTCCCCAAGCATATCCACCCTCTGACCCCACTACATCATCTCTTCTGACTTCTGTCCCCTCTCTGCCCACTGCTCTCTCCTACACACAATGTGCCCAGCAGAGACCATGCACTTTTTGGGAAATTAAACATGGGGAATCTGTGGATGTGGATATTTAGGAATATATTTTCTATAGTCATTGAAAAGGGAGAGGGAGAGCTGCAGACCTCAGGAACACAAATAATAACAAAAAAATAATATGAGTAGGAATGGAAAACAGCTCTTCCTCAGGACTAGTAGTAAAAGGGCAGTAAATCAAACAGCCTTCCAGGAAACAATGCCTCCTTATGTAATTACAGGATGTGAAAGTTTCGCAAAGTGCTAAAGGCTGGCACTGTTGTTTCATTTAATCCTTACCAAAACCCTGTGTGATAGGTGCTAGGTATCCCTACTTAACAAATACAAAAACTGAGGGTCAGAGAGAGGAAGATCTTCCCAAAGTCACCTAGCTACTGAGTGCAGAGCGTGGACTGAAACAGAATCCAGAACTCTTTCTGCTACATCATGACTCATCTGTGTTGAAAGAAAATGCGATTTGAACTGAGCTACTGATTGGCATGCTCATAATAAGAGGTTTTCTGGTGAGCTGCATTCCTCCTTATTTCCCAAAACCTCTCACTGCACCTCTTCCAGCTAAGGGTAAATAAACAGTTTTGGAATTATGAAGCTGGTGAGCACAAAACCAGAAAGGTCAGAGTAATGAATATATAGTTCTCCAATGGGGTTTGCATGATAGATTTTGGTAGTTGCAGTCTTCTTTGTATTTAAGAAATAAGCCAGGCAGCAAATGGGCTCTTCCTCCCTTTTTCCCTTTCTCCCTCACACAAAAAATGTCTGGTGTAAGAGGAAACTACTATAAACAGCTTGGTGAGTCATAATCAAGCTCTTTACTTTGAAACTAAAACCACAGCTTAAAATTTATTTTAAAATAAAGCCATTTATAATAGCAAGACAATTCTCAAAGCAAGACATTTGGAGCAGCCATACTTGTGAATATTATAGAAGAACCCAGCTCAATTCTTGGCTCTTGGTTTTCATTTTTACCAGTAAGTGACTGGTTAAAAAAACAAAATTCCTCCTTCCATAAAGATTTCTCCTCCCAAAATGTCCTCAGCAGTGATCTGAAAAGATACTGTTTTCTAGCCTCATTTCATTCCCCTTATTTCAGGATTTTTCTCTGTAGAGTGGGGGTAATGATACTGGTATCTGTGTAACTGACAAGACCATTGTGGGGATTTATAAATGAGAGGACACATAGAAAAATTAAATGGTATTACATTATGAACTTTTATCCTGAGGGCAAAAGCCACACGTACTCAGTGTCATCCATGCCTCTGTGCTTCTCACTGTAACAGAATTTAGCATGGTGTGATCATGGTACTCCGAAGTATCCTGGGTCAAGTGTCATGTATCAGAGCTGAATCAAAATAAACAGTTGCCAGCCACCGGTAATTCTTAGAAAATGTGCATATGCAAATTTACACTGCTTCTCATTTTGATCTTGCCGCTAGTCCTCGAGAAACTTATATTATAAAGTGAGGTTTTGCAATTCAAAACGATTTTAATCCTCTTCCTCTTCCAATCCACCCTTCCTCTCCTAAACATTGCTTCCGCATTGGCCAGGACAGACAGATGTCTCAGCTGGGACCTTCTGATACAAGGAGAATTCCACTTTGTAGGTAGCCTGTGCCATGATGGGCATCTCTTATTGTTAGAAACTCTTCCCTTATGGGGAGCCAGAATTGTAGGTGCTTGAACTGGAACTGGCTTGAATAAGAAATCAAAAATGCAAACACTAGAAGCTTCTGTAACTTGATAGTGGTGATGATAGTGCACCTTCCAAGCCTTCAGTGATCATCCAGCCGGAGAGACTTCTTAAGGAAAGTTGGATCTAGTCCTCAGTTTTGTAGTGCCGTTACAGAATTAAGTCCTTTGCAGCAAAATCCTGGGCTTCTTCAGTGACCCCAAATAGTTACTCACCAGGAAGTGGGAATAAAACACTGACCAGAGTTACTTAGGCGAGCAGGCCTGCATTGGGTCACAGAACCACAGAATCACAGACCTCTAGAGCCAAAGGGAACTGAAGCATCACACATTGTTGATAGTCCCGCTACCCATTTTACAAATGCGGAAACAGGTCTAGGAAGGTCAAGTGATTTCCAAGTAGAGCTAATATGGTACTTGTTTCTGGGAGCATTTCCTGGGCAGAAATCACTGTCCCTTCTGTGGGGAACCGTTCACTGTTGCCCCACTCGTCTGACCCGGGATTCCTCATGCTGCTCTCAGGCAGGTGTGGGCATTTGATGGGGTGGTGCCATGACAAATGTCACTCATGAATGCCAGACTAGAAAGAGGTGCTGCAGCCACATCAGGGGCTTTGTGGTGAGGCCCAAATTAGACCTCACTGGGGAAAAGAAGCAAAGACATACATGTGGTGGGGCTTTTTTCTTTAAACATTGATTAATACTGGGAAACCCAGTCAGAGTACACCCCACCCAGCAGAGAGGGGAATTTCAGGTGTTGGCACCAAAGGAAGTCCCAAGTAAAAGCCCATTCGCCTGTGAACAAAGTGAGAGCATGCTTCTCTAGCAGTGGCAGAAATGTGAGATGACCTTTCATTTTTGCAGGATGTTTATATCAGAGGAGAACAACCAGGTGCTGAATGGGCACAGTCCCTGTGAGTGTACATGTGAATGTATGAATGTATGTGAGTGTATGTGATGTGTGTGTACGTGCATGTGTGTGGGAGAAGTGTGTGAGTACAGAGGGTATGTGTGAGTGTGTGTGTGAATGTGTGTGCCTTTCATATGTGTGAAGGATATGAGTGTAGATGTGGGTGTCAGTATGTATATACGAATATGTATGTGAGTATAAGTGCACCTATGTGAATGTCCTCGTCCATGTGAGCTGTTGTAACAAAATATCATACACTAGTGATGAATGAACAACAGAAATCTGTCTCTCGAAGTCCTGGAGTCTGGAAGTCCAAGATCAGGCTGGCAGCATGGTCAGGTGAAGGGCATCTTCTGAGTTGCAGACTTCGTGTTGTATCCTCGCATGGTGGAAGGGCAGGGAGCTCTGTGGAGTCTCCTTTATAAGATCACTAATCCCATTCACGAGGGCTCTGTTCTCATGATGTAATCACCTCCCAGAGACCCTGCCTCCTGACACCATCACACTGGGGGTTAGGATTCCAGTAAGTAAATCTTGAGGACACATGAACATTTAAGCCACAGCAGTGAATAAGTGTGTGTGGAAGGTATGCCTGTGGATATGAGTGTGGGTGTGGATGTGTGTGAATATCAGTGTGTATCTACATGAATGTGAATGTGTGAGTGTGTGGGAGTAAAGGAGGCCTTTGCTTTGATGCTCTGGTTCCCACCTAGTTACTCATTTTCCCACCCATTGGTTTCTCTTGAAAGCTGTATTTCCTCAAAAATATCCTGTACTATTTTTTGCCATAGTTATTTTTAAAAGAAAAAGTATTTTCTTTGCTGAAGCCAAAAGTACAACATAATCCATGAAATACAATAGAAATACTGGGTATTGTTAAAACAACAAATGCAATAACATTTAGAAACTGCTTGTCTGTCACAAACAACCCGTCCTGTGTTAGAGGCCTTCGCAGGGGACTTTTAGCAATTCTGTCCCTCAGATTCTGTCATCTTCTGTGCAGAGTTCCTTAATCTAAGCAAAGGAAACAATATGAGTCCAATACACTTTCATTCCAGCTAATATAACATGTATCCTTTAAGAAGAAAACCACCTTGTGTATATATCAATATAAATGAAGATATAGATACAAATATAGGTATAATGTGAAATGATATGACAATGGGTAAAGCCACATTAACCTTTCCAGTTTCCTCTGTTAATTTCTTCTTAGTCCTCCCACTATCTTGATCATAGCAAATCAGAAACTTTCTGAAATTATAGCTGAGGCCATAGGTCTGGAAGAGGAATATCTGTGTGTAAATGAAGCTGAATTCACTTCATTCATTCATTCATTCATTCATTCATTCAAACAAATATATTAAAGCCAGTCTATAGTACTGGACACTGTGTGTGCTTTGTGCCAGTGATATGGAAGTGAACAAGACAAATCCAGCCCTCATGTCCTTGAACTTGCAGTCCAGCAGGAGATCAGGAGTAGGAGTGAGGATGATGAGGGCACTCTGGCACTAAGGAGGAGTTTGAGATTCAGCTGTGGGGATGATGGTCGGGCTCATCCAGTAGAGCGGAGGAATGGATAAGGAGTTAGAGAGGACCTCTCAGAAGGTAACAGTGGAGCTGACCCCAGAAGAACAGGTGAACCAGGACAAGGGAGGAAGCACAGTTGGGGGAACTATGGATTCAGCCCATAAAGAAAGATCACTTCAGGGAAGTGATTCGAAGCAAGCCTCAAATGCAAGCCAGTTGTGGCTAATTCCAAATTTTCTCGCAGTCACATTTTAAAAGAACGAACAGGTGGAATTAATTTTTAAAAGATAACCCAAATATATCTGGAATGGTTTCATTTCAACATGTAACCAATATTTTTATTATTGAGTTATTTTACATTTTTTTCCCTACTAAGTCTTTGAAAACTGGTGTGTCTACTAAGCATCAGCCCAGTGCAGTGGCGGCATGTTCGCCCTCCAGGCAGCAGCTCCTCTCAGTTCAGGCCAGCCAGGCTGCCCGGCTCCGCGCCGCACCCGCTGCAGTGGACAATGAGGCTCTGGGGCTCTGGCAAGTGACACTGAAGAGAGTGAGGGAACTCTTGATTACATTAATGGTGAAAGGATTTGGTGATTTCTTTATTCATTTGGTAAATGAAGTAATTTATTTAAATAAACAGCTACCCTCAAAACACACGAGGGGAGAATAAAGAGAAAATGAAGCCCAGGTTTGGAAAGACTGTCAGGACCACAGGCAGCTCATTTACTACATTCGCTTTGCCTCTTTGCCCGTGTATTTCTCTATGTTGTAGGAAGACTATTCCAACCTCTATCACATCGCAATGAAGGGATGAGTTTTTTGGCTTCTACATTATGAAAGAGATTCGGTAAAAGTAGACAGTATTATTTGTAATCTGACTTGTATTGACTGATTGATGTAGGACAAAGGCCTATTGTAAGTCCCCAGGGAAGACAGGCCGCCAGGAGCCTGAGGGTCTCAAGTAATTATAGGATGTATCCAATCTCAGAATCAATGCTTAAACACAAAAGCAGCAGATGGGAAGATTTCAATAGTTTGTCATAATGTTCAAGTCTATCTCCTTCCTTTTCCCAAACCCTGTCCCATCACAGGCTGGCACAGAATTTCAGAAGGTAGTTTCAGACAGAATAGGCTGCTTTACCTCACTTACTAGTCACACATATTACACCAGCTATGATGTAGAGATTTTTGGTTGCATAACAGATGAAGTCAATGACAAAGAGTAAGAGTAGGTAGCAGAGAATTAACAGAAGATAGAAAACAGAGGTGGAAAGGGAGTTAAAGTTTTGCTCTTATAGAAGCTTCCATTATTTTGCTGTTTTTCTAGTGGCAGAACAGGGTAGAAATTTTGTGGGGTGACTACCACAAGGTAGGACTAGAAATTAAATCAGTTCAATGTAGCACAACATCTGGGGAATGTCTACTAAGTGCTAGCATCACAGTGGTTAAGAGTTCATCCTCCAGATAGAGCTACACTACCTGAGTTCAAGTCCCAGCTTTATCACGTAATGGCTGTGTGTTCTTGAGCAAAGTACTTACCCTCTCAGTACCTTATTTTCTTCACAGGTAAGTAGGCAGTAGTATATACCACCTGAGGTTGTTGTGAAGATTAACCAGAATTGTGAAAAAGTGTCTTCTAAGCCATGGTGTTAGTTTTTCTAACACATGGTGACATGTGTTAGTTTTGTCCTATCATGGATTACCCTCCTTCAGTTAGTTTGGATGCTGAAAGCCTTTTCAGGCAGCGAACTCTTATAATAGGTTTATGAGGGAGCTGTTCACTCTTTGCTTCTCAGACAAACCAAAGTCAGAAAGGCCGAGTTTACTACTTTAAATCATTTCCCACTGGATAGAACAGAAAGAAAACTGAAGACAAGAGGCAGTCTGACAGATTTTCCTTTTTTTACCTTACTCTTACCAATAGGAGAGGTGACAATGACAATAGGAACACTGGCTTGAGATCAGCTTCAGCATTGCCCAAGAAGGCACAAGCAGCCCTGGCCAGTGTGACTTGGTTGGAGCATCGTCCTGTAACCAAAGGGTTGCAGGTTCACTTCCTGGTTGGGGCATGTACCTTGTGGCCAGTTCGATCCCCAGTGCGGATGTGTGCAATTCCTGGTCTGGGCGCATAAGGGTGGCAAGCAATCGATGCTTTTCTCTCTTACATCAAGGTTTCTTTCTTTCCATTCCTCTCTCCCTTCCTTTCTCTCTAAAAAACAATGGGAAAAATGTCCTATGGTTAGGACTTTCTTTAAAAAGGAGAAGAAGAATAAGAAGGTACAAGAAGTATCAATTCTTCCAGACATCCCCAGGGACACCAGAAATGGTCCAGGCATTCCTTCCTCTCCCACATCCACCAGGGGGCGCACTAAAATCTCACATTTCTTTGTGTGGACTGCTTGAGTCAGTTTCTTAACTGCTCCAAGCCTCAGTACCCTGATCAGAGTGGGGAGTTAGAAGGACTAAATGTAGCAATAGCTGTAAAGCTCTTGACTCATGGTGTGGCCCAATAGGTGATAGTTTCTCCCTTATCACTCACCCAAATAAATGCTGAAACAAAAGTAAGTTCATCTGGAAAGACCCAGCTGGCTCCACAGGTCACAGTTCTTCTGGATTGACAGCTTTTCTCCCTGTGAGTCAGGGCCATTGTCTCTGGAAAAAAAGAATTGTGGCTCTCCACCTTTCCAAAATTGCTGACCTCACGTCCACTGTTGATGCTCCACATCAGAATGTACCACAACCTCACAATTAGAGAAGCTGCTTTGCAACTTTGGGGCAGAAGGGTGACTAGGGATTCCAGCTATGAAACATGGTGGCCCATACTTACCAGTTCATCGTTTCAAGCTCACCAGTGACTGGAGCAGACGTTAGAGTAGTGGGCCCGCCAGTCTGGAAGTCAGGAGCCCTGGATTCCACTCTCACCTCCTCCATTCATCCGTCGAGTGGCCTTAAGCAAGTCACTTCATCTTTCCAGGGCTTAGTTTCCCCATTGATAAAAGGAAATGTTGGAATAATTGTTAATCTGTAGAGTCCCTTCCTGTTCTGTGATGCTATTCCTTTCCATCAGGGTCAAGTGTAATCCAGAGGCAATGGATGATATTCACTTTTTGCAAACTTTATGTTGCTATTAAAAAAAACAAAGTAATTATATTGTTTTCAGTTGCTTCAGTTGCTACCAGCCCAGCTGGATTAATACTTGTTTTCCCATTGGCTCATTGAATTTTTTGTTCCAAGGACCCTGTTGGACAAGTTAGGCCAGTTTTTGAATTTGGTTAAGGAGACCAATTGTCTGAGACAGGTTAACCTTTATCCCAAAACTTGAGCTTGACATTTTATACAAGCATAACTCACAGGATACCATATTTATCTAAGCACCTCAACCTCACCTTCTCACTGATATTTTCAACTCTGGGAACTGTCACTGACCGTTCAGATCCACACCTCTATATACTAGATCACTTGATCAGCTAGATTTTCACAGCAGTCACCAGGCAAGCTCCTTGGATCCAAGATGACGTGAAATGTCCCCCTTCTTTGAGCACTTTACCATAGGAATGAGTAAGACTGCTAAGGTAGCTGTGGAGGACGATGAGAGAGAGAGAGAGAATAAAGGCTTATTTGAAAGGTGTTTTTTCCTATTAGGGCTCTGCTTATTTGTCAGAGTGAGACTGAAGCCGCTTTTGTTCATGGCAAGAATGGAGAGCTTGGTGAACTTGGTTAACTTTGAGGGGTGCCTTAGGGTGGGGGTGCATAGGTTGGGGGTGGGATAATAGTCCTGTGTCTGGACCATCCAAGGAAATGGATGGGGAAGGAGTGAGTGAGAGACAGCTGAGGACACAGTCTTCACTAGACAGCTTTTGCTTTAATTTACCCTGTATTTTCCTCTTATGACAAAGGGCATGTGTATTAATAAGTTTAGAACACCACAGTTTCAAAAGCATTCACTTATTTTAGTTCACACAACAGGCCTATGAGAACAGCTGTGATGGGCATTTTCTTGGTTCTTGCCAGTACACAAAGATGCCTTCTAAGGAAAGGCTGTGCACCCAAAAGAACCCTCTAGAATATGGTATTTACTTGGTGTATTAACTATGGTTTAAGATCCAATCTTGAGCCTTGTGGATCCAGAGAGGCAGCTAGGGAAGAACCTGAATTAATTAATCTCTTAGAGACTAAACTATGTAATAAAAAGCTGGATGTTCATGATTCATTTATTGTGAAAAATACAGCTGTTGGACAAACCAGAAGGCTTGAGTCAGCAGATAGGAATATTCTTTCTCAGTATGCTGATTATTTCAGAAGCCAAATTTAAAGGAGAAGGGCAATTTATTCACTTAAAGTGAAAAACAAATTTTCAGTGAACCAGATGTTCTTGTTAGCCCAGCCTCTGCTGACCGATAAAATACATAGGAAGCCAAATTATTAGATGATTGTTTAAGGAGTAGGGAATCAGAGAAAGGTGTATGTGTCAACCTTAGGGTGTGTCTGTTCATCAGCTTGAGGCAATCCCACACCTCATGGAAGGAATAGCCTTGCCAAGAAACCTGCAATGCTTAAATCTGGTGAGCTAGGCCTTCCTCCCTGTGGTAGGCATGGACCAGCACTGTAATGCTGACCTTGGCAGCTGTCCGTTTTCATTGCTTCTGTTTCCCATGGTCCTTATCCAGACAGAGTTACAATACAAATTAGTTTTCTGCTTACTTTCTGGGATTGTTCCCAAACGATCTCAACTGGAACTTTCGCAGTTGCAAAAACTGGTTAGGCACACATTTATAAACAGTGTCTTAGGTTTCTAGCACAGATGGCAAAGCCAGTTCACCAAGTATGGATTTTACTAGTTTAGTTCTTGAAAATCTTGTTTTTGATTTCATGAGTAGCATTGAACTTTCTATTTGAAATGTTATACTTCTGTGTGTGGAGGGGTATGTCACAAATTTTGAAATGGGGATTCAGAGGGGCTGAGTGCCTTGCCTGGGTCACACAGCTAGTGATTGGTAGAGCTAGAACTCAAACCCAGATCTTCTGAGTTCCGATCCTCTTCTTGTTCCATTGGATGTAATTGAGTTTTCTACTACTAGGAAGTTTCACTTTGAAGCAAGAAAGGAAAGTCAATGTGTTTCTAAAAATTAGCTGTACAAATGTTAAGTAATATTTTTCTCTAAATGGTGGTGGTGGGCAGAAGCATTAAATGTACAGTAGAGAAGATGAGAAGGTGTAAATAGAAAGGTCACTCAGATGTAGCCACCTGCTGCAGGGGCCCATGAGGTCCAGGCATAGTGTGTCCAGCGACCTTGTTTGAGTGGACACAGTAAGTGGATGTGTTTTGTTGCAGAATCTGAGTGTATCAGAGGCAAGAGGAAAAATCCTCCACTATCAGGTGACTTTGCTGGACATGGCAGGGAAGAAACCCACACTACAGAATACCACAGAACATACCTCCTGGACCTGGGTCAGCCCCAGAACTGAGAACTGGACTGTGGCCGTGTCTGCAGCTAACTCAAAAGGCAGTTCCCTGCCCACTCGTATTAACATAACGGACCTGTGTGGAGCAGGTAAGTACCAACTTATCTTTAATATTGCCTGTGGGAAACTGTCTTACTCATCTCTTACCTTCCATGAGGCTCAGCTCAGGGCCTAGCATGAATAGCGCTTAAATTTAGATTTCAGAGTCAACAGCATTCAGAAGCTGTCTTTTCCACTCAAACTATGAGTGACCTTGGACAAGTGACCTAACACACCTCTGAACTTCACTTTTCCCCCTCCTTAAAGTAAGGATTACATCATCTGCTTTGCAGGTCGCTATAAGATTAAATACAGAAACTAATACATAGCAGGTGCTTAGTAAATGTTAGTTAAGCAAATACTAGTTACACTAAGTTGAATACTAATATCTGGCTAATTATTCCAGAAGCAAGAATAATATGTGCTGTCAAATTCTAGAAGAAAACATTTTACACTTACAGTGAAAATATTTTAAGACCATAGTATTAAAACAATATTCTGGCTGTAATGAAACTATAGTAAAATTTTTCTATACTGTAACTGTTTATTCCACAAATTTAGATATGTATCCAATTATCTACATTGAAAACTTCCCAACTAGCTACATACATTTTATGGTTGTATTCTCTGAAAACTAACTTCTCTGGATAAAAACTTCTAATTAGTCAAGAAAATAGATATTAATGCAATTCTCAAGATCTGTGCTATAAAAAGGCCCATGTTTTTCCAACATTGCCCCATGGAATAAAACTGTAATTAGATCTTTCCTTAAAACTCAGTGTAACAATTTTATCTACATGTGAGTCTAGCAATCATCATTGTGAAGAAGGTTCTACTAGAACATGATTACTTTATATACACACTTAAATCTTGGTTAGATATCCTTTCAGTCACATATCTATAAACATGGAGATAATAGAGTAATAAAAATAACTAGAAGAGAATACAAGTAAATATTGATATAACCTTGGGTTGGTAGATGAGTTAGGCATTGCTCTTAGGAATAAGGCTTGCTCTTACCAGAGGCCTGACTATGGTGATTTATTTATTCTCACCCATTAAAGAAGTCAGAGGTAGGCTGCGAGGGCCGGCGTGACAGCTTCGTGACATCATCAGGACTCCAGGCTCCTTTCTGTTCCTTCTGCCAAGTTGGCTTTCATCCTCAAGATGGAAATGGTTCAGGATGGCTGCCAGAGCTCTAGCTATTTCCATCTAGGCAGCAGAATAGAAGGGAGACAGGGTCACCCTCCTCACTGGTGAGGAGCTTCACCCCAGGTCACACAACACACGTTGCAGTCGTTGACTCTAACTGGTCACCTGGCCACACCAACTGCAAAGGAGGCTCAGAAACAGATTTCAGGCAGCAGGGTGGCCTTGCTACAGAAGATGAAGAGAGGGTATCTGGTAGGCAGCCGGTGATATCTGCTCATGTGGGACAGGCGCCTAAGGCAGAAGAACCTGAAGGGAAAATGGATTAACTATGTGAGGAAAAGCTTCAGCTTTCTGCATAGTAAAATAAAAAACTTTTCTGAAACACCAACAATAAAACTCCAGAGAGTAACATAATAAAAACATGTTCCCACTTTCAGATCTAAGAAATGTTAACATTTTGACAGGTTTTTTCATTATTTTTTAAAATGAAACATTTATTTTTTATTGTACTTTATATTCAGTATTATTTTATATTAGTTTCAGGTGTTTAAATACCAATTTAAGAAAAGGATATATCACATTTTGGGCAAGAAGAGGATTATCTATATCTAACTTTTTAAAATAAGAGACCAGGGTATATGAATAGGCAATTCAACTAATAAACGTAAAAGAATAGCAAGATTTGAAAATACTTTCAGCCTAATTAGCAATCAATGAGATGCAAATTTTGAAAAAGCATGAGAAACTAAATCAACCTGAGAAAAGAGTAAGCAGCGTTAGTATAGTCCACATTGGTGAGAGTGTGGGGAAGTGTCCTTGTACCCTGCTAGTAGGTGTGTAAGTTGGTTCAACTTTCTCAAGAACAATTTGGCCATATGTAACAAACTTTAAATATAAACATATCTTTTGACCAAGAAATTTAAGCATTAGGACTGAATCCTCAGCAGATAATAAGTGCTTGAAAATATAGGCTAAAAGATGTTTATTGAAAAAAATGTAGTGAAACAGCACAAAGAACCTAAATGTTAAATAACAGAAAATGAACCGATTTAATACATCCTGACTCTCACCAGCATTCATTCATTCACAGTGGCACTAAAGTGATGCTGTAGCTGTGTTTGTATTGTTGTGCAAAGTGCACATAATGAGTAACAAGACAGGCATTCAACAGTGTATATGGGATGATGCCATTTAAAATATCTATTTACATGACTATACATTTTTTGCATGTTAAAAACAATTTAGTGGAATATATATGGACATGTTAACAGAGGTCATCACAAAATCATGGGATTACAGGTGACTTTCCTTCCCTTTTGCTTGTTATATTTTTAAAATTCTTCTTCAGTGGGTAAGTGCTACATTTGTAATTTTTAAAGTGAATTCTGTGGGGGAAATTGAACTCATATCACTCTTTAATGTCCTGATGTTGGTAAAATGCCATATGCCAAAACACCTTATTTCTTCAAACCGCACTACAGGTGAGTCTTGGAAATATAAGCCTCATGAATTTTCTGGACCCATTCCAGGCTCTTTATTTAGATTTGAGAACAATCTCTCAAAATGACACAGTCATTGTTTCAGAGTTGACCTCTACTTTATTCATTCAGTAGTCCTTTATTGAGCACATACTGTGGAAGTCAGCTGGAACCCAGCAGTAGGTTAAAAAATGCTGTTGAGGTCCTCCAGTTGTATTTAGTCAGGTGGGATGGCAGACATATAAACAAGTAAGTCATAGTTCCGTATAACAAGTATAAAGGTAGAGGTATGCACAGGTAGCTCTAGGAACAGAGGAAAGCCAAAGTATGGCCTTGGAGAGGAGGCAACATGTGAACAGGGCATGGAGAGACAAGTTGGCATTAGCCAGGTGAGGGAGTGCAGGTGTGCAGGCATGAGGGATTTTTTAAAAGTGGGATCTGAGTGGATCAGGGGTAGGGAGGAGTTGAAGATAAAGGGGAGAGAGGGAATAATTAGTGGAAGGAAGTCCCTGGGGAGCTGGAAGATGATGGGATCCGGTGACAAAAAGAGTTAAAGGAACACTTCTTCCTCTAAGAATGGACAGGTGTTGAGTAAAGGATGAGGCTCATTAAGGATGAATGTGTAGAGAAGGTAAGGTAGGACACTGAAACAGTTCTGTACAACTGAGCTGTCACTAAGAGGGTCCTGGCCCTGGAAAATTTGGATTCTCCAGGATCTTTTACATCTCTTAAGATCACACCTGAGCCATCCGATACAAGCTGCTGTGCACCTCAGGGTGACCTGTGGAGGACAAATGGGCACATCACAGAACCCCATCCTCGACGGCTCTTCTCTCACACATATCCTGAATGATCTGTAGAAACAGTGTGCCGTAATTTTGTGTGTCTCTCTCCTTCAGTATGTGTTCACACTACTCACATAGATAACTTTCCTTTCAGGAAGAGAAAAATAATGCTGCAACAGGAAGAATTATGTTGATTTTGAGAAAATTAGGGACAATTTTATTATAAAATGTGCCTGTCACAGCATGACATATCAAGAAGCACAAGCACGAGTTTCTTGATTTGATGAAAATTGAATGTGTTCCAAACCCATAGCCAACAATTAAAACATATTTCGCATTTCAGACCAGTCCCTGAGCTCAAGAATTCTTGAAACTAGAAGAAGAATCAGAAGCCAGTAGAGTATTGCCAGCCCCACACAGATGTCAGACACGTAGGCCCCAGGAGGTGAAGTATCCTAGCCAATATCATACATTCAGTTAGTCACAGAGCTGGACAGAAAAACCAGGCCACCTGTCTCTAAGGTGGGCACTTTTCCAAATATCTGTGAACTTCATAACTCTATTCATAAGCTCTCAGTGAAAATGGAGATGGGAATTTGAATGATTGAGGGGAAAGAAATAGTTTTGAAAGGTCGCAGAGGGAAGGTTAGTCGTGGCCAGAGAAGGGGAGAGAACTAGCCCTGAGAGACATCATGGGGGAGCGAATCCAGTCTGGATCCTGGCAAGATGAAAAGTCTAAGGGTTGAAATAAAGAACTCAGCCAATGAGTTATCTAGCAGAAAGGACTCGAGAAGACTGAAGGAGTGGAAGATTTGATAAGAAACTCTTCCAAAAGGCATCAAAAACAGAAAAGTTGAAAACAGATGAGGAGATTTAAAACATTGAAAGAATTGAAAGAGAAGTAATAATGACCACCTGAAAGGAGTCACAGTGAGAGAAAGAAAGCAAATGAAAAGGAAGAAATGCTTGAAAGTATTTATCCAGCATCTTACAGAATGTCAGTACTAGGAAAGACTGTGTGCGTGAGAGGCATGGGGTATATGGAAAAATCTCTGAGCCTTCTGCTCATTTTTCTATAAACTTAAAACTTCTCTAAAAAATAGTCTATACTTTTAAAAGTCACTACAAGATGCAGTGCAGAATGATTAAGCAGGGTTTATCCTATGAGTATAAAGATGGAGCAATTTGAAAAAATGTAACAATGTAATTCATCACATTAATACTGAGAGAAAAAAGGGATATGTTTTTAACAGACATAGAAAAGTATTTAAAAATAGTTTTTAGTAAGTGATACATTACTTTTAAAACCTATATAGAAACTATGAATAAAAGAAAGCTTTTTAGTTTTTTAAGACTTTCTACCAAAAACATGCAGCAAATATCATTTTATTGTAATGAAGATATATGGGCACATTCTCTTTAAAATTAGCAACAAGATAAAAGATATTAGCAACAAGATATGATATTTTCCATATCATAATCTAATAAGATTATGATATGGAAAATTCAACAAGGGCAAGGGATGAATTATTAGACTAATTAGAGAATTTAGCAGGTTTGCCAGAAATAACACACACAAATTAATAGTAGAAAAAGTAGAAAATAAGCCCTGACCAGTGTAGTGTAGTTGGTTGAGCATTGTGCCACAAAGGGAAAGTTCCCTGATTCAATTCCTGGTCAGGGCACACACCTGGGCTTCCCCATCTGGAGAGTGTGAGAGGCAATCAATTGATGTTCTTCTCTCACATGGATATTTCTCTCCCTCTTTTTCTCCCTTCCTTCCCCTCTCTCTAAAAATATAAATAAATAAATTATTTTTAAAAAGTAGAAGGTGCCATATATAAAATAAACTCAAAGTGTAACATATCTAAGAATTAATCTAACAAAAATGCATGAAAACTTTAAGGAGGAATTTTACACTCCCTTAAAAATATAAAAGGGGAACTGAATAATTTCAATGAAAGAGCATATTCATGAATGGAATGATTTAGCATTGTAACAGTGTCATTTTTCCCTGAATTAAACAGCATTTTTAACTTAAATCCAGTAAAAAAAAAAAAAACCCTGCTAGAATTTGGGGGTGGGGGGGGCTAGGATAAACTAATTCTAAAAGCTGCATGGAAAAATAAGGTTAAATGAATAACCAAGAACATTTTGAAAAAGGAGAGCAAAATGAGAAGGGTAGTTTACCAACCAAATACTCAGACATCACAAAACCTAGTAATATAATCCATGTGTTCTGGTAAAGAAGCTGACCCAACACAGACCCAATAATGTATAGAACTTGGTGTATGTTAGGAATGGTATCATATTTGAAAAACTGACTCACAATATGGAAAAATAATAAAATTGTTTCCCTTAAAAATAAAAACAACCTTTCAGCTAGATTTGGGGAAAAAATTGAATGTGAAAGGTGAACCAGAAGTCAATAGGAGAAAAGGTGGTTGAGTATCTTGGTGACCCCAGGATGGAAGGATTTCATAAACAACAGTCAAAATGCTCAAACCGTAGTATACATCAAAGTATTTATGTGCAACAAACACATTGTAAAGTTGAAAGACTGGAGCAAGATATTTTTAGTGTTGAAGACTGGTGAATGATTAAGATCTAGAATATAAATGCTATTTCTCACTGATTAAGATCTAGAATATAAAAGCTATTTCTGCAAATCAGAGAGAAGACAGGAAATCCAGAAAAAATTAGCAAAGTATATGAATAGGCCATTCACATAAGGGAAAATAGTCAGATGATTAGTAATGCATGAAGAGAAGTCAGTCTCACAAGAAATCAGAAAACGAAAATAAAACCACAATTAAATACCACTTCACATGGACCAGATTGACAAAAATCAGAAAATACCAAGTGTTGAGAAGAAAATGAGATCTCTCAAAGCTTTTCTTGTTAGAGTGCAACTGATAGGCTATTTTAGCGGTAAGTTTGGCCATATTTAGTGAGACATGTAAATCCAGAAACACTCTTACACAGAAACACATGAGGACATGTTTGTGTTTATGTTGATGTAAGAAGATCCAAACCCATAGATAATTTTTTTAAGAGTTTGAGAGAAAATGATATATGCTGGACATAAAGATCTCAAATGCCCTGGAGAGTAACAGTTTTGCAGTTTCTTTTATGCATTTGAAAGTAAAGAGGGGTCATAAGGAAGATTACATGAAGGTGGGAGAGAGCAAAGTAGGGGTTGGATTAGAAGACTATGTGCTTTCTTAAGGGTGGTTATACCTTACTTCTGGGTATTACTTCTGGCATCTCAAAGGTGTGTTAACCTAGATGCATAAGAACAATGGACAGGGCTTGCTTAAAAAACTTACACTTAAGAAGTAGAGGTCATGGTCATGACTACCCACCATGACCTGACCAGTTAGGAATTTATGATAAATTACAGCACCCTTTTTTGTTTCCATTAGTAAAGAGTTGGAGGGAACCTCCTGCTTGTCACTTGGAGACTGGACAAAAAAAGGGTTGAGGCAGCAGCCTAACAGACTAAGCTAAATTTACAGGTAGGAGCAGGATGGATACATCCCAGATACATGTTGAGTGAAAAAAAAAAGAAAAAGCATTAGATCTGCTCTCAATACAGTTTACACAATAACAACTCACAAGCACAAAGCGACACCAATTTTCAAGGATACATATATGTGTAAACAAACATATAAGGTGGATTAGAAGGATGCATGTTACATTCACTAGAGCCAGTACCACTGGAAATGGAAAGTGAAATGAAAGATGAAGGGAAAATAATTCTACAGATACCACTACATAGGGTTCTTGTCCAAGCTGATAATGCCAGTTCTCCCAGAACTGAGAAGTAGGATGAACTTAAACCTGTGAATTTGGAGATCTTAAAAAGAAATTGGTCCTTCTTAAAGCATTGACAGGATTTGCTGTGTTTTATATCTTTGTCTACAGTGATTTTTGTTTTTGTTCCTCCTCATTTTCCCTTATAAAGGGTTGTTGGCTCCTGGCCAGGTCTCTGCAAACTCAGAGGGCACAGACAACATTATGGTGACGTGGGAGCCTCCTGGGAAAGCTGCCTCCACTGTTCAAGAGTACGTGGTGGAATGGAGGGAGCTGCATCCGGGGGGTGGCATGCGGCTCTCTCTAAACTGGCTGCGGACTCCTCCTTACAATGTGTCCACTTTGATTTCAGGTACTTAATTGTCCACCTTCCTTTGGGAGGTTACTCAATTCACATTTGTTTGAGAAAATTGCAGGTAGGAACCCCAAACTCTGCCTTCCATTACAAGCGGCTACATGAGAAAGAGGGACAGTGATGACCTAGGGGCCTTCAGGACAGCACCTCAGAATACACCACTGCAGCCATAGAAGGCCATCTGGTTGACTAGAAGCTCTGGTATTTATGGAGAATGCATGTGTCTGACACAGTGCCATTACACCAGAAGTGAATACTTAAACCAGACAAACGTGGCTGGGAGCTAAGTAGTAACCCATTAGTGTGATGGGCCCCTGATATTTGGGAGTTCATTTAAGTTTTAGAAAAATCAGGTGCAGCAAGAGTTACCATTCCCATGATATAGGTGAGGATACCAGGAGATCTTTCATTCCCAATCAAGTGACTGAGAGCATATTGAAAATGATCAGAGAAAACTTAGGCAAAGTCATTTTTAAGTGTTAAGTTCACAAAGGTGCTGGTTCTACAACCAGGCAATCTAAATTTGAGCGCTGGCTGTTACTTACTAGGTTGCATAATCTAGGGCAAATTAGTTAACTTCTCTGTGCCTCAGTTTCCTTATCTGTAAAATGGGGGCTATTGTGTTATTATGAAGACTAACTGAATTAATATAGAGAAAACATTTGAACAGTGCCTAACATAGTTTAAGTGTTTGATAATTTAGCTATCATCATCATGATTATTTTATGTAATAGAGCTAAGACTTTAATAGGTTTTTAAGCTCTAAATCCCATAATACGATCATTATACCATGACAATGATTGCACCTGTCCAGGAGAATACACACGCCCTACTTAAGGAAACAAGATTTACACCGATGAAATAAACAGAGCACACCGCATGATAATTATAGGAGATGGTCCTTGACTGTGTGCCTCTTTTATAGTGCAGCTGCTCAGATTTTTAGTGGGTTGTGTTCAGTTTTAATCACTACACTTAAAGGGAGTGCTGCCCAGTAAGAAACAGATGAAGATGAGCAAGTCACTGGGGTTCTGGACTTTTAATGTGGAAACCGAGAGTTGTGGATGGGGTGGGGTGGTTTGGTGGCTGTTGATGGCTTTGATGTCTACATGAAAAAGAGTAAGTGTCCTTTATTGTTTTGGAGGCTAAAACTGAGGCTTCTGCATGGAAGTTGTAAGAAGGCAGATGCCAGGTCTATGTGGAGAAAGAATTTTCCTTACCTGTTGTGGTCTCTAATAGGACAGTTGATTGTCCCTGGAGTTGTTGCAGTAGAACCATTTTTTCTTTAGGGTTGTTATGTCCATCAAACCAGATTAAACAGTGCATAGAGCAGGCATTTAGTAAACTCTAAACCGCAACAAAATTGTAAATGCTCACTATAAACTGTATTAGGATTTACCCCTGTGGGATAGTTTGAATCATATAGCCCATATAATTCCCTCTTTTTATAAATCTATACAAATGCCATAAATAGATGAAAAAAGAGAATGTCTTCCATATTTAGGAAGCTAAAATGTTTTTAAGCATTTTAGAAATATTTATTTGTATAAGATCAGTATAATGGTGAAATATAATTATTCTCCTACTTGAAAACACCTGGTTAACTGTTAGTTTGTGTTGCTGTTATAATTCAAAATGTCCCTCTCTGGTCAGTAATATGACTCACTGCCATTGCATTCTCAGCTTCTGGCTGGGGCAGAGTGCGTTGTTGGGAGTGGGCCAGGATATAGTCCAGCTCCAGGGTTATAGGTTGATGAGACCTAGGTTAGAGATCGTCAGTCCTATTTTGTCTATAAAAATGGTTCAGGCGATACAGAGCCACTCCTTTTACAAGTACGTAGACAACACCATGTCTAGAAAACCTTGCCTCATACCTAGGCTATTTGGGTCCCCATTCTGCATGCTCCCTCGTATTTCCTCTAGGATTCTTCCATGATGATCACTTAGTGTTTGCTTTATCCCATACTTAATAGGTGAAATTAGCTATCTGCAGAAAATCCACCGAAGAGATTAGTTGTAAATGTTAAAACAGAGCCTTTGCCCAAGGTTGCCAGGCATATATGTATGCATGAGAGTACAAGCAAATGAGCAAGTATTGGGGGCCAGAATGAAGAAAGAAATGGAAATTTTAACAATGTGGGCAGTAGCCACTGGGCAGCATGGCTGAGGAACTTTTGAGGTAGGGAGCAGACATGATTCAGGGGTGTTTGTGTAAGAATTAGCCAGTAAAACAGGAGTCCTCAAGGTCAGAACCAGGGAACAAGCTTACTATGGCTTTATGATTTGTGGAAAGGGAAATGTCACCTGAGTTAAGGTGACACGTTTTCTTCCCTCCTCCACTAAAGTAGAAGCCCATAACTTCTGTCTGATGCAACCATTCCCAAGGCTTCTACCCTGAACTCATGTTTTGCATGGCAAAACGCAACAAACACATTTGCCTAACGAGCTCACCTGGAACTCTCAAACCTCTACAGGGCACAGTGGTTGGTTGGCACCTTCCACCACTACTGGCAAAACAGCCAGGCACCTGCCCCTGGCAAATAAAATGTGAATCACATTCCATGTTGCCCATGGAGCTTCAGGGTCTGGATGCCACCCACAAAGAATCTTTGGATTACTAGACTAAGCTGACTGTGTCCTTTTCTCCATTTCACTTAGTTCAACTATTAGGTCATGTAGTTTTCTGGTAGAGCCTATAGGATTTTCTATGTACACTATCATGTCATCTGCAACTAATGACAGTTTTACTTCCTCTTTTCCAATTTGGATGCCTTTTATTTCTTTTCTTGTCTGTTCACTGTGGCTAGTTCTGTCACTGGTCAGGGCACATTTGGGAGGCAACCAGTGTTTCTCTGTCTCTCTCTCTTTCTCCCTCCCCTTTCCTCTCTCTCTAAAATTAATATTTTAAAAAATATTTTTAAAATAAAATAAAAACTAGGAAGGAACATTAACATTCCCAGATATCTTCCAAATGTCCCAGGCCGTGATGCATCTGAGGCCTACCTGGAACACGCTGGGGAGAGGTAGAGGAGGAGGAACAATGGGTTGGGTTGCACTGAGTGTGCCCTGGTTCATCACACCCAGATGCATCGTCCATAGCTGCCCTGTCAGATCCTGATAAGCTTCTGTGGAATTAGAAGGGCCTTCCAGGTTCTGTGCCTGCAAAATCCCAGCCTTACTTTTTAGTAAAGGGCAAATGATTTATTTGTAGAAGTCAAAGCATTTTTCTTGACAGAAAGTTTTGTTTCAAAAGTTGTCTGTGTGGTTATATTTAAATCTTTGTTGGCACTGAGCTAGCTTTTTTCTCCTTAATCATGATGACCCTGGGAAGAAACTCAGGTTTGCTAACTTATTCACTATGAGATGAACTTCGGACATAAGGGCTGTGGCTTCCAGGCGTGGATGCCATGGAAAACAGGATGCTGAGATTTTGTAGCTTAGGTCATTCCTTTACCGTCAGTTCAAATTATACTTGAACCATCTTCAAACTAAGAAGAGGCAAGAGATGCCTTGAATACTTATGTATCAGATATTAAAGCAGCTCGTTTAGTGATTCACATGTTGTAAGAACTCCCTTTTCTTTGCAGAGAACATAAAACCCTACATCTGTTATGAAATCCGTGTGCATGCACTCTCGGGGGGCCAAGGAGGATGCAGCTCCATCCGGGGTAACTCTAAGCACAAAGGTGAGTCTTAGGAACTTTTGCCAAATTTTGCTTTAGTTTAATGACTTGGATTTGGAGGGTTACAAAAGCCTCCTGTGTTCTAATTTACAGCACCACTGAGTGGGCCCCACATTAATGCCATCACAGAGGAAAAGGGGAGCATTCTAATTTCATGGAGTGAAATTCCAGCCCAGGAACAAATGGGCTGCATCCTCCATTACAGGATATACTGGAAGGAACAGGACTCCAGCTCCCAACCTCAACTTCGTGGTATGTATGAGAAACAAACGCCTTGGGGCCTTTCTTGTTCCTCTGCCAGGAGAACACAAGTGTGTGCATGTGCACATACACAAAGGGCTGGAATCATGCCTGGCGCTTAGGAGGTGCTCAATAAATATGGTGAAATTAATTGAATACAGGAAAATAAAAGACCTCTAAATACATACACACAGTTACTAAATACATGTCATGTGCCAAGCAAGTTAAAAATATGAAAATAATGGACTATGCTCTTGAGGAGCTTACTTATATGGGGAGACAGCACTGCAAGAAGCAATAAGGGCACATACCTTAGTAGAGCTTTATAGACCCGTGAGGTTTGCAAGGAATGCATTTTGGGAAACTTTTGAGTCCCCGTGTTTGCAATTATCATTGTAGCATATTATTTCTTCTCAAAATGGATAAAACACAATATATATATAAGTAATTCCTTATGACCTACAATTATTCTATAAGACTAAAGCAATTAAAATAAATTCTGGCTGGAACATTATCTCAGATGACTTCATGGATCACTCATTTGTAGTAGCTCCAAGACACTTGGCAGATTTGATGTTCTAACTTTGATTTATTCAGAGTTTTCTCTTTTTTTCCTTGGCTTGCCCTTCTTTTTATTTCATAGGCATCTTGCTTTTTTTAGGAGAATTTATCATAAAGAAGCATCATTTTTGTTCCTTTATGAGAGCTAGTGGGTCAGGGAGAAGGTAACAGAGCCACCCCAAGATGTGGTGCTAGGGTACTGCCTGCAGACTGATTCTGCGTGGGGAACTTTAAGAGTTGGTCCTGTCTCGTGACCTGAGAAGACCTGCAGTGTTGCTTTTCTAAGTTGTGGCTTTTGAAGCTAGTTACTTTTTTTACTACATAAATAATACTGCATGTGATAAAAACATTCAAATAGTTTGATAAGACATAAAATTGAAGTGATCCCTTCATTTATATGTAGGCTCTTACCAGTTCTTTGTGTGCTCATCCAGAAAAAATTGATATATATCCAAGCATATATTTGGATAATTATCTGTATTCTGAGCTTCACCTTGCTTTTACTTCTTAATACCACTGGAGATCTTTCCACATCAGTCCATATGGATTTGCCTCATCCTCTTTAACAGCTGTCTGGTATTCCATTATAAGACCTCATAATCATTCACTTAACATTCACCATTGGTAAACAGTATGTATTATTGAACAGAACTGCTTCCCTTGGCCCGTCAGGGTAAGTCAGTTCCGATAAACACCCCAAAAGGTGATAAATCAATTGACCTCTTCCTGAGCCATTTTAAATTCTTCATGTGGAATCTGCTCCCCTCCATTTCTCAATTTTCATTTTGGCAGAGTTTAAACTGAGATGCCTATTTATGACCAGACAGATTAACACGGTCATTTGGTTCTTAAAGCTGCTCTTGTAGATACAGAAGAAAAATCTACTTTAGTTTGCCACAAGTTTGATGAATCTAAGTCTATATAAGGATGTTTTAAAATATGTCACAAGGGGAGGAGGCCCAGATTCAAAGTCCTATTTTATACTGGCTTAGATTAAATTTTCCTATTATTCATTAAGCACTTACTGATGGGTTAGACCCATTCCTTCTCTTCACAGAGTTCACAGTCTACTCAAGGAGATGGAAAAGTACACAAAAGTGATGTAACTGCTCTAATCAAGGACTGACAACTAGCTATTGCATTTGACAACCAGAAAGCCCAGGTGATTCACAGGTGCAGCTTCTGGAGAGTGATAGAGGGCAGTAGGCTGAAGGAGAAAGGCATCAGGAGAGAGAGACCCCACTCCACAAAAGCTAGATGGAGTTCCATTGGGGGGGGGGCTGTCTTACATGTCTTGTGGCACCACCCAGAGGGACAGCACGTGCAGAGCTCAGTAGGAGCACTTACCCCTGCCTGGGCAGAAGAGGGGCATAGAACTGGGATGGGGCTAGGGCCTGTGCCTATTAGTACATTCCACAGGTAATTCTGGTATCCAGCCTCTCCTCTGCAAGTTTTCTGATACTCACGTGTACCGATGGCAAGTACATTCTCTGCGGGTGCACACATTGTGCTTTGTTACCTCTTGGCTGCTTTTACCCACAGACTCTAAGCATCATGAGGACAGATACCATGGCAATTTGCTCACCATTGTCTCCAGTGTACTTACAATACAGCCAGGCATACAGTAGGTTCTTAATAAAAAGAGTATTTGTTGAATAGCAAATGGGTGATTAAAATCCTGCATTTTGCTAAACAAATGTAGATTGTTAGGGAAAAAACTAATTTTCAGTAATAATGTGGCTGTTTTGCCTGATACCACTTGATCTTCTTATCCACTGCTGGTCTGAACGTTGGCAACTACCACGTCCTCCTGAACTGGAGCTCTTGTCCTTTAATCACCCTAAGCCTAAAGTTTCTGGGGGCCAAGGAGTTAATGGCCCCTTTATCTGTGCCTGAAATCACAGCTCAGACCCGGGCAGCAAAACCGGTATTTCCTGCATGATTTCTTTCTCCCATTACTCAACCCAACCTATTTTGCCAACCAGACTGCTGACACCATCATCCTCCTTACTGCTCCCCGCCATAAAGTTTCTATTTTTATTCTTTGAATACGCATATGTGTATGTGAGCCTATGTATAAATTTTTTGGCCCCACACACCATTCACATTTCTTCTCTTCTGTTCTAGCATCTGTCTCATTTCACTCCCAGAGCTCAGGAAGGCATGCCTCACACAGTGCAATGGTTGACTCCCAGATGCTTGCTGATGCTTCTTCGTTGCAGCAAGATGAGCAGGAGGTTGCTCCAAAATTATTTTTTTAATCCCCTGAAAAAGGGATAAGAAAAGAGATTTTTTAGTTGAATCACATAGCTTACATCTGTGCAAGCAATTTCATCAGGTTAGAGTAGGCTCGGGAATTTTCCACATGGTATTTTTCTCAACAAGATGTAAAATACAGAAGTTGCTCTGATAGTCACAGCTCTTACATAGTCTGCCCCAACCTCTGCCGCTTTGGGTGGAGTGGATGTAAGATTGCAGGGCTCCATCATGCTGGTCCCCCATAGTAAGCAGGGGTGGTAAGTGGTCTCTTTTCTCCACTAACTGGTGAACTCTGTGAGGCATTCTGTGCCTTTGTACACTTGATGCCTTGTCCAGAGCAGACACTCAGTAAATATTTGTGACTGTTGAAATATCAATAATTTGAGCAAACAGGGTCATCGTCTGACTTGTACTGGGATTTGAGAGCCAGTGAGTGATGCTGAGGCACAGGGTGCTGGGTTCTGGTGTCCACTCTGATCACCAGCACAGGTGAAAGTCTGCTGAGCAAGCCTGCTGAGCAAGCCGGTGGGCTGCTCCTGCCGAAGCCTTAATTTTATAGTCCCTGACCCTGCGGCGAGGCTACTCCAAACTTGCACCTGGAAGATCACTGGAGGGGAAGATCACTGGAGGGGAAGATTGCCTGTGCACCAAAGGCTCCCAACACTCATGTTTCCTGGAGAAAAACAGCATCAGTGCATTGTGCTGAAAAACAACATCTTCCGTGCTGAGAATATGCAAGGATGTTGAGAGCATAAGGAACTGATGATTTTGGCTTAAACTGCCAAAATAACTCTAATCCTGAGTACTATTGCTCTAGAGTTTAGATTTTATGTGAAATTGTAGCAGATGGTCATATTAAGCCCACAAAGCCCAATACACAGAGCCTACAAAAAAGTAGAAAATCAGAATTAATAACTGTTGCTTAAATATCCGTTTTATTGCTAAACTTACCTTTCTTAAAAATTCCATTGAGAGCAATTTATACATTTAATTTCCTCCCCAAAAGTTCTCAAATATACCTGGTAAATGCCAGAAACATTATAGGAAATAAACAATGAGTTAACTACAGCTAAATACTTTCAAAAGCAAAATGATAAACATTTTGTTAAAAGATTGTACCACAAGAAAAAATATGTAATTCTTTTGATATGCTGAGAAGTGAGGCCTCCATTGATGGCAATGGCTGGGGCCTACTAAAGTATTAAGTAATTAAGACTATTTTAAAATATATATGTGCTTTTCTTGTTCTAATTAAATGAAGAATAAAAATGAGTAAGAGCCCATACTCAAATATTTCGTATAATATGTAGCTTTCTTTTTTTATCTTCATCTTCCTTTCAGAAATTCCCTATAGGGTCTCTCCCAACTCACACGCAGTGAACAGCCTGCAGCCCAGAGTGAGATACGTCCTGTGGATGACAGCTCTGACAGCTGCTGGCGAGAGCCCCCGTGGAAAAGAGAGGGAGTTTAGTCTGCAGGGTAAGAAGCAGCCATGGAGATGGAGAGTCCACCCTGGACTCCCGCACAGGTGTACAGTCCCACTGCCTTTGGCATGGAGATGATCAGATTTTCTTTAATTTGCTCATAACTTTTTTACTGCTACATCTTTACACTTGCTGTTTCCTCTAACTGGACTGCCCTACCATGGTGTTGTCTACTTGGAGACAGTGTCTACTCATTTTTCAAAACTCGGTGGAAATGTTTCCTCCTTCAGGAAGCGTTTCCAAATGCACCTCCATATTTCCCTCATAATGCACTACATTTGACCGATATTCAAAACTCTAAATCCAATAGGCAGGGACTGATATCCGTTTATCTCTGTCTTCAAGGTCTAAAATGGTGCCCAACACTTAGTACTTGTTCACTGAATATCTGTTTAATGGATAATGAGAATAATCTCAACAATAACAATAGCAGCTATTGCAGTCAGATAGTTATGTACCCATCATTGTGTTATGTGCTTCTATAACATAGGAGGGGCCCCCCTAAAAAAACAAAAGTGGATTATCTTCTGGATAGTGGGTCTCTTGTAGTACAGGCTTCCCCAATAGGTGTTTTAGGAACCCATCCATGTCAGTGTACCAGCTGGCGTTATTGTGAGAGGCTGCATTTGGCTTCAGTGAATTATTTTGAAGACTCTTTCAATGTGTTTGCCCATTTCATGATGGGTGATTTACGAGCTCACCTGCCCACACCATACTGAGTGTTCAGCAATTTTTGACCAAAAAATGACATAACTCCTGTGCCCCACCCTATTTACTCAGTCTCTCCCTGAGCAATTTTTTTGTTTGTTTCTACGGATGAAGAAAGTCCTAAAAGGGAAATGTTTTTGCTGATGTGGAAGAGGCAAAACCAAAAACAAGAGAAGCACTAAAAGGCATCAAAATTGGCAAGTTCTAAAACTGTTTTTGAGCAATGAAAAAAAGGCTTGATAGATGAATTGCATCAAATGGAGAGTACTCTGGAGGTGACTGAAGTTTAAACATGGAAGAATAAATATACAATTTTATATAAGGAAATTCCAGGGCTTTTTGGGTCCCCCCTCATATTAGTTTTCCAGGGCTCCTGTAACAAAGTGCCACAAACTGGGTGGCTTAAACTATAGAAATTTATTTTCTCACAGTTTGGAGGCTGGAAGTCCAAGACGAAGGTATCAGCAGAGTTAGTCTCTTCTGAGGGCTATGAAATAACCTATTTTATGCCTCTCACCTTGAGTCTGGTGGCTATCTTTGGCGTTCCTATGCTTGTGAATCTCTACTTTCATCTTCACATTGAGTTTTCCTTGTATGTGTCACTGTGTTCAAATTTCCCCTCTTTATATGAACACCAGTCATATTGGAGGAGAAGTCACCCTACTGCAGTCTGACTCATCTTAACTAATTACATCTGCAAAGACCCTACTTCCAAATGAGGTCACTTTTTGAGGTACTGGAGGTTAGGACTTCAATATATGAATTTGGGGGGTGAGAGGACACAATTCACCCTACATAGCACATACTTCCACTCATTTAGTCTTGCCCACAACCATGTGAAGTGCCTGCTTTACATAATTACACCTGGTCACTACCAGGAGCTCAATATGGAGCAAATAAAGGAATGAGGTGCTTTTTTTACAAGTGTAAGGCAGAAAAATCACCCAAGGTCATTGAGGTGGTAAACAGCAGAGCTACAAATCAAACGGATTTGAGTTACTTAAGTTACGCTGTCCTCTCTGGCAGCACTATTTTGCATTTGCTCCAAGGGTGGAACAAGCTGTTCTTGCTTTGTAACGTGGAGTATCAAGTTGATCATTCAGTACTTTGCTGTTCTATGCCAAGCAGTTCTCCACTGGGGAAACTGAAAAACCCTCTTTTCCTCTCCCAGCTACTCCTGTGAAAGTTAACTTGCAAGCACTCAACCTCTTTCTACTCGTGGTACTCCAGACTGTCCCAACTGCCCAGCAAGGAAGGCAGACGCTGAAGAAATGTCAGATTGTGCTGATTGTATGGGGTGGTAACAAGGCTGCCTGCTCCAACTCCCCCGTTCAGTCCCGATAACACACCTCTCACTGGGCCCAACAGGTCTCTGGCCCCTAGTTCCCCATGCTCACCTGCGCTCCCAGCCTGTCCTTCGTTCTACCAGAAAAATCCTTCTGCAAGACCCCCAGGGCTGACATTTTGCTTCTTGTTGCAACCCATCAAGTGGTTCCCCAAGGGCTTCAAGCTTGAATTCAAACTGCTTGGTTACCAGGCCCTACATGACCTGGTCCTGTTCACCCATTCTGCTTCATCCTCTGCCTCCCTCTCCTCATTTACACTCAAAAGCAAGACCAGGCTACTTGTAGTCACTTGAAAGTGCTGTGCTGTTTCTTCCTCCCACTCCTTTGCATAGTTCTCTGTCTAGTCTGTGCTTCCCCAATTTGTCTGCTTAGCCAACTCCTATCGATCCAACTCTAAACTTTTAATGTCATGCCTCGAGAAACCTTCCTGAAATGTAAATGAGGTCAGATCCCATGCTGTTCTCTGCGACAGGACCTCATACATGCTTGTTTTTACAATGGTTTACATGGGCTACACTCGTGACTTCTGGAGACAGCAGAGCCCAAGTGCTATTCATCTTCGCATCTCAGCACCTAATAGGGCCTTGTACGTGGTTAATAATGAATACTGGGTGAATTAATGGATAATTCTGACATGTGGCAAAATAAATGTTCATAGGAAGAAATCAAAACAATTTCAAAGATCCTAGTTAGATAAAGGGTTGGTTAATCCAATGGTTTGGTAAAATTACTAGTTACTGTTTCTTGCAGGCCTGGTCTTTTCAGATAGATACATTGCCTTGTGCTTTAGCTACATTGTCTCCAACCTCACAGCAACCTGCAGGTAGACATCATCATTCACCTTTTACAGACCAAGAACAGGTCCTCAGGTGACATCGCAGTCAGTGGAAGATCCAGCACCAGGACTCAGGGCTCCCTGTTCACAGCCCGTGCCTTGTGTGCCACAGCCCTTGTCCTCCCACCCACTGGAGCAAGGAGCCCTTGCAGGGCTGATGCTCCTCTCAGCTATAGAATTGGCTCCCCAAGGGCCCCTTCTCCTCAAATGAATGGATAGAAATGAGTTGGCCTTTTCCTGGGCCTAGCTACCCAGGAGCTATGGGTCGGGCCCAGAGGGCTCATACGGTAGTCAGTACTTTGAAATGTTCATTGAAGGTATCCCAGTCACGGGGTTTGCTCTCTCTTCAGGTAAAGCCAGTTGGAGCACATTTATGGTCCTGAGCATTTGCACTGCTGTCATCGTTGTGGTCATTTTCTCAATGCGTTCCTCCCGGCAAAAGTGAGTTGGGTACACCTGCCAATTTTGGTAAAAAAAATTTTTAAATGATAATTGCTGTGGTTGCTATGAGTCCAAGAAATGGATGCTCTCATACATGGCTGGTGGCAGAGCAAATTTATTCAGCATTTTGGAGCGACAATATATGTTAAATCTTTATTCTACCATAGCAATTCCTATTTAGAAATTTATTCTAAGTACATCATAGGGGCATGTGGCTATTTGATGTCAAATATGTTCACTAAAGTATTGTTCATAAAAGGAAAAATAATTTGAAACAACACAAATGCCCGATGATATGGGAGTAATTATATCTTATGCTATAGCAATACTATGCATCCATTAAAATGTAGAATAAAACTTAAATATGAATATTTGCTATATTACATTTTAAAAAGCACCTTGCAAAATAATATGTACTTCCATTTTTTAAAAAAGATTTTATTAGCCCTGGCTGGCGTAGCTCAGTGGATTGAGCGCGGGCTGCGAACCAAAGTGTCGCAGGTTTGATTCCCAGTCAGGGCACATGCCTGGGTTGCAGGCCACGACCCCCAGCAACTGCACATTGATGTTTCTCTCTCTCTCTCTCTTTCTCCCTCCCTTCCTTCTCTAAAAATAAATAAAATCTTTTAAAAAATTTTAAAAATAAAATTTTAAAAAAGGTTTTATTTATTTTAAAAAATTTAAAAAATAAAATTTTAAAAAAGGTTTTATTTATTTTTAGAGGGGAAGAGAGGAAGAAAGAGAGGGAGAGAAACATCAATGTGTGGTTGCCCCTCATGTGTTCCCTACTCAGGACCTGGCCCACAACCCAGGCATGTGCCCTGACTGGGAATTGAATCAGTGACCCCTTGCTTCACAGGCTGGCACTCAATCCACTGAGCCACACCAGCCACGGCTGTACTTCCATTTTTTAAAAAATAGTACATATACACATACACACAAATACACATACAAGATATTATCAGTCATCATTAAGTTTGGTTTTATGTGAGTTTTATAGCCCAAATAATGTGACAAACTAGCTAACAGTTTCCCATTCAAGTAAGGGAAGTCAACTAAGTAAGGCCTCGTGTTAGCTCCATAGTTTTTGGGACCTGGGTTCCTTGCACTTCCTGCTCCATTATGCTGACACTGGCTTCCATGAGTCTCCCCTCTCAGCCAGTGGCTGCAGAAATTATAGCCATCATGCACCCATTGTACCACCACAGGGACAGAGAAGGCACACCCCCCTTTCCAGTACATGTTACATGAAGAAGTCACACAAAATACTGTTGATTAGATCTCATTGGCCAGAACTTGGTGAGGGGGGTAGGTTTAAAATTGTGGCCTTATAGCTGGGTTCATGATCATCCCAATAAATTAGGGTGCTCTTTCTTCGGATAGGAAAAAAACAGGTATTGGGTGGCAATTAACACTTTCTGCCCCAAAGATATACACCACAAGATTAATGGTGGTTATATCGAAGAATAAAATCATAGGTGATTTTAGTGCTATTTAATTGTTTTCTAAAATTTTTAAAACATGCATTACTTAATAAGATGGAATTTTTTAAAATGAAGTAGTTCTTCAGTACAAAGTTTTCTTCAGATGTTGTGTAAAGAGCAGAGGTAAAAATAAAATTAGCTCAAAGTCATTCTACTAGGCACTGAACTTGTCTGAAAGGCTTTACATTTATTGAAGCTCCCATGTGTGATAGATACTTCAAAGCAGAGCTCTCTTTAGGTAGATTTTGAAGTTAAACTAAAAAGGCATTGACTATGATCACATACATCCTCTTCAGGGAAATAGTATCAGTTAGGGTCAAGGCTTCTGCTGTTAAAAGAAAAAAGAGGTCTCAAAAGCAGTGGCTTTAATAAAAGAGTTTATTCCTCTCCCATGTAAGAGGTTAAGTCATCCAGGTTGGTTGGCAGCTCTGCTCCACACAGTCATTTAGGGACCCAGTTTTATTCCATTTTATTGGCCCACCATCCTTTGGGCACTGTCCTCGATCCATATTAAGTCACAGGTACCTCTGCTCATGATTCTTTGGAGAAAAACTAGTCAGGTGGCCACCTCTCCTGTTTCAAAGAGCTAAACACATCCCAGAAGCTTACCATTCTTATTAAACATCAAAGCTTATTAAAGCCAAGGATTTAATGATGTTTCATATTGGTCTTGAATATTTAAAATAGAGTGATGATATTTCAGCCACATGCACATATAAGAAACATTTTTTAGAATTTTCCCCATCCACATCATAAAATATAAACTCATTTAAAAAATATTTTTAAAAACCTAGAGATGTAGGAAAAAAGACCTACATTTCCTCTGATCACCAAACACAAGTACTGTTAACAGCTTGAATGTTTCTCCATGCTATTTTTTCTTGGTTTTTTTTTTGCAAGGTTTATATTCAAGCTATTTATATCATTTGTATCTGGCTTGTTATTTTTACTTTTAGCACCATAATGTCCTTGTCATTACAAACTTTTTATAGACATTGTAATTAAGTAAATGGCAAACTCCCAAGGGTAGAGACCATGCCTCCCTGTTTGCTGTCCTGTCCCAGCCCTGTGCTCGTCACGCATTAGGGAATATTGAACAGTTGCATGGCTGGATGGTGACAGCTACACATTACATTGATCAAAAATTCCATAGTTTTCTTAGCAAACCCCAAGTGACTGCATCACAACTCTTTGTCATCTATCTACACTTCACAGAAAGCTAGTCTTTCCTTCGGTGATGTGCCATCCTTCTCCTTCAGTGTTCGCATTTCACTCATTTGCATAGCCCTACACTGAACAGCCCCTACACTGGAGTCACTGCACCAGGAACCTGTGCTTCCACACTTAACCAGGTGTCATTGTTTTCTTTATCTATAGGCTATCTGCCCTCCTTTCAGGCCTCAGACCTCAGTGGTGTAGCAGACAAATTCCAGACCCAGCGAACAGCACATGGGCCAAGAAATATCTCATTGTGGAGGTAAGGTGTAAAGCCTTAGCAGCCACCCCTTGATGGGGTTTGAGACATCTGTGCATCTAAGTTTCCCCTGGTGGTTAGGAGGAAACCTGGGTACTAAGAGCCTATGAATAAAGTGAGGTCATTCACGCTAGGTTATCATCTGAGTCATTACTCCCATGTCCAGGGATTTTCTGAAGCTTATGACCCAAAGACTCAAGAGTCATAGCTTTTCATTCCTCACTATGCCTTGTCCCCCTTCTCACCTTGATTTACTTTAAAAGAAATTGAAAAACAATTATTTTTGTTGTTTATGCAGCCCTAGGCTGAGCACTGACTCATTTGAATTCAAAAGAACTGGAGCTTTACCCACGATGTTCTCAGCCCCTCATCTGAGCACAGAACAGAGAAATAGAACCCAGATTATTTTGGTTTTGGCAGGAAGCCAGTAAGCCATCCCACCATGTATGGAAAAGGTTCTAAAGGAGAGGTTGCTGAGCTGGCAGATGAAAGAGCAAGAATAAAGGAAGCTGAGAGAGCTGCTCCTGTGCAGTCTGAGGAGGTTAGAAGAGCTCACAGTGGGCAAGATGGTCCATCTCTGGGGGAAGGTTTGGAAGCTGAAGGCATCTGAATATGGAGCAAGGCTGCATTTATGGAAAGCAGAGGGGAGGAAAGTTGTATGCCACTATTCTTCCCAGGCCTAGGCCATTGGCAGCCCCACATTCCCTTAACTACACTTTGTAACCCTTCTCCTGCAAGATTCTTCTCTTCAAATGCTCAGTGCATTCTATTATCCACATCCTTCCTCAGCCAGAAGCCAGTGGTACCAGCCGCTACTCAGGTAAGGAGCTCGTCTCAGCTATGTCTGCCTCAGCAGGAATTCAAGTCCCTGCAGTTCATTGCCTTTGAAACAATGCTTGGATACAAACCCCACCTCTGCCCCTTACTATGTAGATGACCCTTGGGCAACTTGCCTGACATCTACACCCTAATTTCATTCTTTGTGAAGTAGGAATTCACAACATCTCCCATATATATTGTTGTGAGGATTAAGAAAGATGCCATGTAGAGTACATGGCTCATACAAGGCAAAGATCATTCACTTTCTTCTTAGGAAGACTCGTACTTGATGTCTCCCTCTGTCTATTGAGGGGATGTATTACTGTTAAGTTATAATAGCAAGAATAGTAATAGCTATTATTACTATTAAGGGCTGGGAACATATATATGATCTAGATATATTGTATATATTATGTATCTGCATGATATACAATTATGTTATATAATTTTATTATACATCTATGTTTATACACATTTATATAATTTTATATATGCCAAGCACTTTAAAAAATGTCTCCATACAGTACAGCTTTATGAACTTGTACTATTATCCTCATTTTTCCGATGAGAAAACTCAGGCATAGAGGACTAAGTAACTCGCCCAACGTTAGTCAGCTAGTGAATGGTGAGTCCTGAATTCACATAGATGCAGGATGTGCCATCTGCCATTATACTACACATTCTAAAAGACCTTTAAGCACAGAGTATAACAGGAGTCTTTCTGAAAGTCAATGTCGCTGAGCTGAAGAGACTAAAGAGGGCCCTCCCTTCATGGCAATATTATAATGACCTGTGGGGACCCACTGCCTGTGTTAGAGGGGATTCAAGTGCTAGGAATTGAACCAGTTAGGTTTAAGGTCTCTTTCTTCCAAGGCTGAGATTCTACAGTCCCATGTCCTAAAACAGCAATCTCAGCCTTTTTTACCTCATGGCACACATAAATTAATTACTAAAATTTTGTGGCATAGGTGCTATCAGGGTAGTTTAGTTGGTGAGAGCATCGTCTGAATATCCCAAGGTTGTGGGTTCAATCCCTGGTCATGACACATACAAGAATCAACCAATGAATGTACAAATAGGTGGAACAAATTGAGTTTTCTCTTCCCCTCTCCCTCTCTCTAAAATCAATAAATACAAAATTTTTTAAAGATTTTATTTTTAGAGAGGGAAGGGAGGGAGAAAGAGAGAGAAAGAGAAACATCAATGTGCGGTTGCTGGGGGCCATGGCCTGCAACCCAGGCATATGCCCTGACTGGGAATCAAACCTGCGATGCTTTGGTTTGCAGCCCATGCTTAATCCACTGAGCTACACCAGCCAGGGCTAATAAATACAATTTTTTTAAAGAAAAAATTAGGGTTATAGAGTTCTATAGCACAGCAAAAAATTTTTTGCCAATCTGACAAAAAATAGGTATAATTTTTATTCACACTGGACAGCTATTGTTGTGTTGGCTGTTGTCATTTTTTATTTGACTAATCAAGGGAAAAGAGGTCAGTGACCCTCACTAAACAGTCAGGTATTGCATGCTTTAACAATTTTTGTGGTACACCACTGTGCCTGCCGTGACACACCAGTTGAAAAATCACTGACCTAGAAACCTGAACTAGCATGGTGGGAAGCAGCTCTAGGTCCGTCCCGGACACCTGGCGGCTTCCAAGTCGGCAGCTTTGAAGTCATGGGCTCCATTTGCCTCTGCCTGGGCATGACAGGGGACCTTAAAAAGCCTAGAAGAAATGCTAAGAAAGACACGCAAAGGGTTAGAGAAAATAACACAGGGAAAAGGTAAGAGAAGTTGCCACACATATGCCCTAAGTTGTATAAATATGTTCCTTAGAGCATTATACATAGAAGCCAAAAATTGGGCATAATGTAACCTGCTACCAGGAGGTGAGGTTGAACATTTTGAATATATCCATACAATAGGATATTATGCAACTATTTTTTAAAAATCTGTATGTCTAAAAACCTCTAAGATATTTAAAAATGAAAAAAAGGAAAGTCTGTAACAGTTTCTAAAGTAGGTTCTTATTTGTATAAAAAGGAGGGAGACTTTATACACACACGCCCCCCTGGGAGCCTACATATGAACCTGATCATCGGGGTTACCTTTGCGGCAGGGGTTGGAGATAGGAGGGCCATTTAATTTTCATTATAAATTTCCTTTAAACTTTTTTTTTTAGTTTTTTAATTCAATTTTTAATTTTTTTTTCTATTTTTTTTTATTTTAATCATTGTTCAAGTACATTTTTCTCCCTTTTACTCCCATTCCAGCCCACCCACCCAACCCTCCCCACTTCCCTCTCATTACCACCCTCCCCTTAGTTTTTCTCCATGTGTCCTTTAAATTTATTCCTGTTCCTTTAAACTTTTAAAATTTCTTTAAAAACTGTGTGCATGCTTTTTTTCAAAGATAACTGGTAAATTAGAAAATTTAAAACATTTAGCTTCAACATGGCATCTGCGACGAAGGCCTTGAGGCAGCCTCAGAACCCAGGTCACGTGACCCTTACGGTGAGCAAACTGGTGTTAAAGGCCCAAACTGCTCTCCTGGTGATAGGCCAAGGCAGACATCAGAACCACAACAGTCCTTCAACTCCAACAATAGGTTTTCTGTTTTCAGGCCTTATGTGCCCTTCCCATCTTAGATGTAGCTAAAAAAATCATGTGTCTTAAAGCTCTGGAGGAAAAAGCCACATCATGAAGGGGATCACCAGAATATTGTAAAGGCTTAAAATAGTGTCCACGAGGTACCTGAGCCAATAGCTCTCTAAGAGGCCTTGTCCCAGGACTTGTCTGCCAGAGCACCTACTTCATAAAAGCTCAGAGGAACGGCCTCTATCAGTACTGCCAAAGCTTTCAAGAAGGCAGAGTGAACACCTCACCTTGTGATAAGGAGCCATTTCCACACCCCATGTCCTCTCTCACATCTGTGATAGTAGCACTGGGAGCTTGCTTCCCAGAGCTTCCCAGAGCCGCCAGCCACGTTCCAAGCCACTCCCCCATGCCAGGGACAGCCTGGACAGCGATTGGGAAGAGTAGGCTCCCAAGAGAGGCACATGCACATACCCTCTAGCTTGTGGGCCCTTTGTGGAAGGCTGTCCTGAGACGGCACCATCATTCACTTTTTGGAAACTTATGCTTGAGGAAAGGCAAAGGACATCAGAGCCAATCCGGACCAAATCACTCTTGCACCATTTGATGTTGATGGGCGAGGGAATCCAAGCCCAGAGAGGTTGTTTTCCCGAGCTGTAAGGTGTCAGAGTTGGAACTAGTCCTGAGGATTCACCCTGTCCCAAGGCTATTTTTTATTAACCTATGCCTGCCTCCCTTAAAACATGGTCCCCGCTCACAGGTGGCTTATGGACACATTTAAAAAGTGTGTCATTACACAGCACCGTGTGACAAGAACCTAACGGGCAGTTGCTTTGCTGTAGTTTTCAGCAGAGGGAACAGTCACTAGGGGCTTCAGGAACGAGGAAGGTGGCAAGCAGGGGATGGTGCAGCAAACAGAAGTGGGTAGAAGCTGGCAGTGGGAGAAAAGTATGGTGGCACAGAGAAAAAAGTGTGTTAAGACCAGGATGGTGTGCCTGAAATAATTTCTGAACAAAAACATGAGTGGAGGAAGGTTCAGGAACCTGATTGTCAAGGTAAGGGCTAAAAACTTGACTGCTTATGTAAGCCTCAGATCTTAAAGGCAGGGGAGCTTTGCCTTTGTAAGATCAGTCAGTATGAAAGATAGTTTCCAGGATGTGAGGAGAGTCCAAGAAAGCAAAGAAATGTTAATCAAGTGCTTGGACTTGGGCTCAGGAATCAGCATCAGGTTTGGAAAGCAGGGGTGACCTTGAAGAGTTGGTAATCGTGAGAAAATAAGCAAGAGGAATAACATAAAATTAGATAGAGGGGGGAAAAGGATGCAAGTTTTCTTCCAAAAAAGGTATTCTAGAGGGGTCTTTCTTAAGAACAGAACTGATGAAATTACCCAAAAACTTTTCAGTAGTTGTATGAAAACCCAAACTGCTTAGGATCCTTTAAAAACCCCTTCATCATGTGACTTCCTGCTGTGTCTGAAGCCTCAGTTTCCCTGACATAAGAACTACCAGTTTCCAGAACAGACCAGTTTTTCTTGTCCACAACCTCCTATATGAAAAAAGACTATACTTCTCAGGATTCAGCTCTAGCGTGACCCTTTTACAGCCTTCTCTACCCACCTCCCCCGGGGAGAAGCTCAGCCCTCCTTTTGCACCAGGTGTGTCCTCCCTCCTAGATGAAAGGCAGCTAGCACAGTTTGACTCACCAGAAACAGTCTGGTTGAAGGTTGAGCAGGGTAGTGAATCACCACTCACTGGCCAGGTTTGAGAGGACTCCATGGCTCCTGCTTGTCTGCCTCCCAGACAATGTTAACTGCTTCTCTTACCTCGCAGAGTCAAGGGACCAGCCTGTGAGGCCCTCTGGAACCCTGAAGTCAGTCATCAAGGATACTCACTTAACAGCCATATGAGCTTCTTCCTCCTCTTTCTTAGGAGAAGATGCAGCTGCCCTTGGACAGGATCCTAACAGACTGGCCCACTCCAAAAGAACCTGAGCCCCTGGTCATCAGCGAAGTCCTTCACCAAGTGACCCCAGCCTTCAGATGTCTTGTTCGCCCCAAATGGCCAGAAAAGGGAAGAGGAGTCCAAGGTCACTATACCTCTGAGGAAGACACAGGGTACAGTGCTTCAGGCTCACCACCTCCAAGAGCTCTCACAGCAGAGACAGGACAGCTAGTGGATCTGTACAAGGTGCTGGGTAGCAGGGACCCTGACTCAAAGCCAGGAAACCTAGCAAGCCCCTCGCCAGTCCTCCCAGTGGACTACCTTCCCACCCACGAGGGCTACTTACCCTCCAACGTAGATTATATCCCTTCACAAGAGGCTCCTGTAACTGAGCCTCCAGAAGAACTGGAGCCTCAGCGTATCTCCCTTTCTGTTTTTCCCTCAAGCTCCCTTCACCCACTCACCTTCTCCTGTGGAGAGAAGCTGACTTTGGATCGGTTGAAAATGGGGTGTGGCTCCCTCATGCTTTGAGTGAGGGTTGAAACTTGGCAAGTGCTCCCAACCAGCACAGCATGCCCATCTACCCAGCCCTCTGCTCCAGCTGTCAGCTCGTGTGGCTGCTACTATTTGGTCTGTTTGCAGCTAGAGGACAGTCAAGCCAGCTCAGGGTGAATCTTGGGGAACTGAGTTGACTGCAGCCCAGATACCTCATCTGGCCTTCTCCAGAGGCTTCAGATTACATCCTTCACTGTATGGACCTGGAGACTCCAGTCTAAATTCTTGCAGCTTTCTTGGCTATGGTGGCTGGAAAAGGGGAGCGTGGAAACCAAAATGCTTACTAGCGATGTTGTTTATAAAGCAGCTACTACATACCAGGTCTTAGGGTGAGATCAGTCCTGTCCAATAGGCCTATCTACACTGCTGAATATGCTACACACTAACAAGTGGCTGTTCACACTTTGAAACGTGTCTTGTATGAAGAACTGAATTTGGATTGTAATTGAAAGTCACATGTGGCTAGTGCTACTGTATTAAAGACAGCTACAGATAGATGATGGATACATTAGTGAGAATTACCAGGGAACTTCAAAATACATCATCCTAGTTTTTTACCAACATGAGACCCTGGTGTACAATATAAAAGGACTTCCAAGATGGTGGTGATTGTCCTTATTTATGGAAGCCTAAGAATGTGCCTTCCCCTAGTTTTGCTGGTTTACTTTGCCTTAGCCTTTCAGTGAATCAAGAGCAGCTTGATTGTGGAAAAGCTACTTGCAAACCCACCTTACAATTTTATGCAAGGAGCCACCCCTCTGAAATCAGAGGTCTTGAAAAACAGTGGGCCAAAAGCTCTCTGCCTGCCTTCTTTCTGATGCAGAGGGCGCTGCCCTGAGGACCAGAGCTGTCAGGGTTTAAGACCCAAACTGCCACAGTTGTAAAGTGTCCTTCACTTTCTTTCCTGAAGAAAACCAAGCTGGTCCTTATAGCTCAAACTAAGCCTAGAAGAGTATTATTTCCCCCAGCACAACTTGAGATGTGATACATGTTTTACTCCTTTAGAGCTGTGGTCCTGGCCTGTCACCCTCCCCATGCCAGTCACTGTCTGTATCCTGTCCCCTAGAGGCACTTCTGCTAACCTCGTTTCATTGCTAATACCCTTCCCAAGAAACAGCATAAAAGGTCCAAGAACTTTTTTCTTAAATCCCTGTCAGACATGGGGCCTACCTCCTACCCCCATCCCACCCAAACTGGAACTGAGGCAGGTAACCTGCAGAGGCCTAGAAATTGAACTAACCTTGCTCTGGTTGTTCATGTTTGAGTCTTCATCCACGCTTCTTGCCATTCCAGAGTTAACATACTTAGTCCTCCCAGGCTTTTTCTTCTTACATACATGTTTTACTCTAGCTGCCATGCAGCACCCCCCCAACCCCAGCTGCCACCAGTACCTTGCCATCTGAGCTTCAGCACTGGCTGCTCTGCACCCAGGATAGCTTACCTTGTTTGCAATGGGCCACAAGGTCACCTCTTGACAAGGGAAGCCAACTTTTCTTGCAATACCTGTGTTTTGTATCCTTTGCTGTCCTCTTATCACCTAATACCTTAGCCACTCTTCTCTTTCCCACTTGGCCCCAAAGACCAGCTCCAAGTCTTTTTACCCTCATCCTCCACATCCTTTCCCTTAAAAGCAGTCCCTTTTTCCCCCTAAATAAGAAAAAATATATAAAGCTTAATTTTAAAAAGGGAGACCTCCCTGACTCCTCAAGGCTCCTTTTCAAGATGGAGAGGCTTCCTTGGTGCTCCACTAGCACGATGCCCACACCATCTACTTCCTCTACTAAACTGCCAACAACCCCAACAGCAGGAATTATGCAATGTTTCTTCAGCATGGTACCTGATACAGATACCAGCCACCACTTTCTTGCTCCAGTTCCTGAAGCCAGTCCAGCTGTGCATGCTCACTTTTTACTGGGACAACTGAGTTTGCATTTGTTCTTCATTCCCAACCCTCTCCACCCTCACTGTACACTGGCAGCACTGCTACAAGTAGCAATGTTTAAAAATATATTTGAGCAAGACTTTTTGCGGCTTGTCCTACCAGATAAAATGTCCTCTTTCCATAAATGAGAATGGGTAACCTTGTTCTATCCTTACCCCTCATTTTCATATACCTACCCCCTTCCTGCCACACACAAAATTTCAAAACAGGTTGCCTAGTGTACCAGGACTAAGTGGAGCTTATTGATATTCAAGACTCATTCCTCAAGAAAACTAGCAGTGATTTAAATCCTCACCCAATATACTTCCAAAGCCAACCCAGATAGATACCTCTGCTCTGTTCAAACATTAAATTCCTTACTTTTCTGGGACCTAAATATAAAGTCCCAAGTTCATACTTGCTGGATATATGGCAACCTTCCTCATTAATTTTTGTGTACAAATCCGTACTTTGAATTGTTCCTCGAAAAGACCCTCCTTCCCAGAAGCCAGAGATTCTATTTCCTGGGCTTCTGACTTCTTTGTAGACAACAGGAGAGCCAAACTCCTTACCTAGTTCTGGTCTTTTACTGCCTTTCCCCCTCCACCCTGTCCCAATTTCTCAGCTTCCATTAATATCCTACAGCTGCAACTCACCAGCGCGCTGAAGCCTGTGAAAGATGCCAAGCTAGGCATTCTATTCTAGTCAACCTCCCATGTTTGAATGTTTTTTTTGTTTTTTTTTTGAAGCTCCAACTTTTCCTTTCACGTGCTGTAGTTGTCATGTGTTGTAGTTGTCATGTGTCCCGATACCACTGCTCAAGCACTCTAAGAGTCCTGTTTTGCTCTTACTAATCTGCAAGACTCATGGATGTTCACATTATCCCATTTTATAAAGGCTGACTGATAGGTGACTCCTCATACTCTCTAGAATAAGAGATCAGAAAGGTCTCTTCTTCCTCCTAAAAAAAAAAATAGAAACAATTCAATCAATTGGCTAATTGACAACTAAAAGAAACAAGTCAGATCTTCGAATCAGCCTATACGGAAATAAATCTTCAATGAAAAATTTGCAAAACACACACACATCAAGTTAGATAAAAATATTTGCAATACATGCCCAAAGTAACTTAGGGCATTCTCACAGATCAATATGAAAAAAGTCAACATTTCAAAGAATGGACTGAGAAGCACAAAACAGTAAATTTCAATAATAGTGTCACCTCAATAAATTCAGTAAAAAGAAAAAAAATTAAATGCTCAATATTCATGAAGAAAATAATCACCTGTAATCAAAGGAATAAAATTAAACACCACTTTCCATCAATCAAATTAGAGAAATTAAAAAATTACCCAGTATTAATTAGAGATGGTGTTTGCAACCAGGTATGCTAGATGACTCCTTTCTGGAGGCAGTTGGGCAGTACTTTTTAAAATTTCAATAAACTCCACTCCTAGCAATGCAGACTAGAGAACAGTATGAGTTATTACAGCACTGATTAAAACAGGGAGAGGGACCTAAATGCCCTTTAAAAGGAACTTGGTTAATCTATACAACAAAACAGCATCATGCAATCAAAGACTATGAATTTCAGAACACCCCCACCATTATATTATGTTCTGAGTTGAAAAAGAAAAAAGCCACTAAAACTGAAATATGCTGTTGATTTCTATGGTGCATGAATTCCCCCATCCCCCCGCCAAGATGACTGAAACCGGGATGGATCTTAGAGTTCATGAAAAACGCAATATGCAATCTTTCAAAAAGCAGAGCAATATTTGGTACGGAAATGGTCGATTACAAAAGAATGAACAGAATCATATCACTGTCATAAATCAAGCAAACAGGTTTTTGAAATAGACACAAAAACGCTAACAGTGGTTTCCTTTAGCCATAGGTTTTTAAATTGTTTCTACATTTTCATTACAAATATTCCTTATTCTTATAATTGGATAGTCAATACAATATAACCAATTCTTTTCCCCCAAAGGCCTGACACAATAGGTCTAGAGACAAACATGACCAACCACTTTTTTTTAAGGCCATGTCGCTTTCAGGCTCCATCTATCTGACATTTTCACTGGCCTTTATTACTCCTGTCAGTTAGTAGAAAAGGCAAAGGAAGATAAAACACCTAGTGATGGTGGGGTTGGGGGCGTTAGGGTAACAACTGAAGCAATGGATCTCTGAAATACAAAGTTGATATAACAAGCCAAATTCCCATTCAATGTATGCAACACAATGCATTCGATCCTCGGCTTCCTCTCTGGATTGGTTCCAGGACCACCCCTACCTGCAGATGTCAAAATCCTCCGATGCGCAGTCCCTTATATAAAATGGTGGATTTGCACATAATATACACACATCCTTTCAGGTACTTAAAGTCTCTAGATTATACCTAACACAACATAAATAGTTGTAATGTTTAAGGAATGACAAGAAATGGCTTTACCTATTCACAGTAGGTCTAACCACATAGCACATGTCACCAACAATGTAACACCTTTTTTGGATATTTTAATCCTCGGCTGAATCTGTGGATTTAGAACCGTGGATAGAGAAGGCAATGTATTTAGTCCATGTTGATTTTAAGGTACGTAATTCAGTTCTCACCATGACTGGTTTAAGATAGGTGTTATCTCCATTCTAGAGAAAAGGAAACTGAAATACAGGTGAATGGTTAAGTCACACTACTGGTACCTAATACATGACAGTCTGGCTTCAGAGCATAACTTTCAACTATACAAATTCCTTTCAATGCAAATGAGTGCTCTAAAAACTTACATCAATTGGGGTTCTAACTGCAGTTGACTAAAACTGTTGCCATAAAAATCTTTGGAGCTGTTTTTACTAAATAACCAAAACCTGGAATTTCCATGTTTCTCGAGTCCCACCTAGATCATTCTTGGTTCCCAAGAAATCTACCTTTAAAAACTAGGTAAATTTTCAAATGACAATCTGGTACTCCTGGATTTGCTAATTTATCTACCCAGCTAATCTAAATCCTACAAGGCACAGGTAGGCAAAGGAAAAAAAAAAAAAAAAGGCCACAGAAAAGAACACTCCCCCAAAAAGCCCATTATGTTAAGGGAATTGATATATGGAGTATTTAAAGCTATTAAAAAATTAAGTTTTTTAAATAGAAAAGCAAGCAGAGGAACTGTGCTATAACCCCACCTGCTATACCTACTGAATTTTTTCCAACTTGACGGCTATGATTTCCTAAGCAAAAAGAAATTAGGGCTGCATGACTCAATTTTATTGCTTGTATTAATTGTTAAAATATAAATGCCTTGCCTTTACTTTATGGTAAAGGCCACACATTTTGCTAGTGCTCCTTTATTTACAAGTGGTTTTTCAATTGGTTCTGCTTTCAATCACATCTCTAAGAAACATACAAACCTATTACCACTTCTCAATTTCCACAACTGTAAGGAATTATTCCTTAAGAGCCTGGCCTTGCCAATACAAGGTAATTTCAAAACACCTTCTCCGCCTTTGCCAATTTCAGGCATTTTACTACCTATAGGTAATAGAACCCAAGGAAATGTTATAAAAGGTACTATGAGAGTCAGAGCATTAACTATTCTGAAAGGCCTTGAATTTTCACTGGAAAATCAGGCCCACCCACAAGCATGACATTTTCATTACATTTAAAAAGCTACAAAAACATTTTCAAAATACAATGAAAATTAGTAATGAGAAACACTTGTTCTTTACATCGCACTTCACTTGCTGAAATGGCTTATATGTCTCTCTGCACATTAGCTGAGAATGTGGCCTGTGTTAACCGGTTATTTTCCTTGTGCTGTCTAAACCAAGGAGCTGGTAGACCCTCCCCCAGCCCTCATGAATCAAAAAAATTTCAAGGGTGAAAATGGAACACCGCAAGATTTAGAAACAGATATCTCAACTTTATTCCACCACAAAGGGAGTAAAAGACCATCTGCCTTCCTTTCACAACACTGTAGAAATACTTCTTTCCCAATGTTTTTCTCCTCTCATTCTTGTACAACTCCACAGACAGGATTCCTTTGCATTCCTATAAACACTTCCTTTAGTTTACCCTCTCTGGCCTATGGCAGGGTAGCTTTCATTGCAGCTGAGTAGTCAAAAAAACAAAACAAAACAAAACAAAACAAAACAATCACCAAAACCTTGTAGCAAGAATGATAATGCTGAAAAAAAAAAAAAAGAAAATGGGGGGTGGGTATACTATTCTCCCGTAATTTGGGAGGTGCTAGGTGCTAGTTCTATTCCTCAATCAACAGTATAATGGCACTTTAAAAAATAAACTTTATCCATTTTTCCTGAAAAGAATTTCTTTCTCAGATTCTATGTATTTTCACCTAGCATTATGCAGCACCAAAGCACTTCTCTACTTCAGTCAACATTACTTCCAGTTCTACCTTTCGACTCAAGCAGGGACATCAGTCTAATTGTTGAAAACACTTTGATCTAGATTTTGCTAACATCGAGTGACAAACTGCCACTCAATCTTCAAGGGATGCTGTTATGAACAAAATGCAATAGTTTGAACCTGCTAAGTATGTGATTTCTTCCCAATGACTTGAGATCAGTGAACATGCGTCTTAAAAGTAACTATCCAATCCAGTTTTCCCATGCATTCCTCAGAAACTCCTGAGTTTAGCACTTAAGAGAAGCCTTGTACATTTTGTGTAGGTGTACACTTACTCAAATTATCTATCTCTGAAAAGGCGTCTGTCTAGTTTAATTCACCAATTATTAAATCCTAAACATTTTCAGCCATAAAACTGAAGGAAGGAAAGGGGGAATCTACCAATCAACCAACAGTGTTTGATGCGTTTAAGTCAATTCCAAAACAGATCCTGGCAGTCTAAGCACAAAATGTTTAAATGCACTCATCTATCATTGTCCAACTGTGGTTGCCAAACAAAGGAACATTTCACTATGGATTCTGACACCCAAGGTGTGAAACAAAGAATTTCAACATGCAAAGTTCCCCAGATTTCTGACATTCAGCTAATAAAAAAAAAAAAAATAGCCCAATCTGACAAAATTCAAATGTCAAGAACCAAGTTCAGCGGGACCCTTTGGACAGAATCTTCATTTTATGTAGATGAAAACCAATGCCATTTCTTTAAATTAGAAGTAATATTAAGTTCCTAAAATCTGTTAAATCAATCAGCTACAACTGCAATTAAGGTGATATAAACAATAATGCCTAAAAATAAGCCACTTCGCATTTTCCCTACCCAGTTTACCAAATAACAAATATCAAAATCCTGAATATTAATCTTTCACTTTTCACATTTCCATAACAGTAATAGCAGCTATTTAAGGAAGCAAAGCCACAGCAATCAGTTCAGAGCAAATCTCATCACCTGATATGAATCAACTACTTCTAAATAGGTTTCTAAAAACCCATAATGAAATCAAAATTTTCTAATATTTGTTATGACCAGGTATCTTTTGTCTTTTATAACACAAGGCTTAGTACACATAAAGCAGCACCAGAATCTGCCACACCCTCCCAAATAGGCAGCAAAAAGGACAAAGTTGACTGATTTAAAACACTAAATTCCCACATAATTAACACCTGAAACAAACAATTTGGTAAATTATTTTCTAACTTGTGGAGGCAACTTCTCATCTTTTCTTTCCTTCCATTGAGAAGTGAACAATTGACTCCCAGTTACTCAGTACAGAAGTAGTCAATGGCACAAGAGCTAAACTCTGTCCAAATGGATAATCTGCTAACAAAGCTGAGGAATGAGATCCTCGGAACCCATTCATTCCTGTCCCAGTTTAACCTAGGAGTTAATCAACAGCTTACCCATACGAAAGGTCCAGATTCTCATGCAAAAACTATTCACAACAGAAGATTTTAGCACTAAGTGATGAGAAGTGTTAGTGATTCACTAACCATAAATCACTAAACTATAATCACAGCATAAAGCTTACTTTTATTGCAAATTTATACTTTCCTTAACAGTTTTCATGAGAACATATTTAAGTCACAAGCTACATCATCTTTTCTTAAAATAACATGATCTTTACTAGGTGACTACCAGATATTTTGGCCCTTATTCTCAGTATAGAAGAGGCAAAAAATTTGCTTTAAAATACTTCTGATTTTACAACTTCCCATAGGGTAGGATGACTTAATTTGTACCTAAAATAAAACTTTTATTCTAAAAGAACTCCCGTTGACCTAAGAGTAATCGATAGCTTAGATCAGGATTCAGCAAACATTTTCTGTAAAGGGCCATGTTTTAAGCTTGGTGGGCTACATACATCTTTGTAATAGAGTTTTATTTTTAACCCTTTAGAAATCTAGAAGCCATTCTTAGCTCAGGGCCTGTACAAAAACGAGCCACAAGCTGCTGACCCCTAGCTGATACAGTACCTACTTAAATGACGTTCATTTCCACTCTATTACTTTCTCCCGTGGGAACAATCTTGATGGCTTTAGTAATACACCTTCATATCTGAATTACTTTCTGAAATTAAGTTTCTAATCCCTTAAACTACAACCCTTCTTTCATGGTTCTTTAGTGAACCCCTTTCTCAGCCTGAAAGTTATTTCAATCACTTCTCCTATAAACTTCCCACTTTTCTACCTTTAAGATTCTCAATTCGAGAGAACATGTCCAAGGTCAAACCCAGGCTGAGCAAAAAGCAACTGAACCCGAACTCCTGAAAGCAGACACTTAACTCTATACCTCAAAACCTGACAGTTTTGCAAATGACGTTGTTAATTACTTCACTATGTCTGGGGTTTGACTAGAAATCATTTTACTGCCTTGTCACTAGATATACTCTACAAAGCATAATGGTGATCAAGTTCTGGGTTTCTAAAGATAAAGCCCAGATCTGGCTTTTAAGATTCAGACTCCACAAATACTAATTTCATTTACATGTTAATTTCAGCAGAATTACAACTATCTGGGTTAAAGTCTATCTTTTAATCAACTATTTACTTTCTTTAAAAAGAGTTACATGCACCCGAGTGCCTGAGAATAGTTATACCAGTTACTTAAATACAGGGATAAATGTCCAGGTTCTAGCAGTTTCACTTTCCTCCTTAAAATTTTTTTAACCTTTTAATACTTGTTGGCCCAATACATGTAATATTCAGACTTTGTATGCAACTCCCTAATAACATTTTTCTATTTCAGTGTGACCTTCTCTAGCAATTAGAAAAATATCAGAAATGAGTACTTAATGTACTCCCTTCAAACCCATGCCAAAAATTAAGCCCCAAATATGTCAACAACCCTGGAGATGATGTGTCTGTCCTACTTCCACTTTTAAAATAAAAATGAGTAAAGTAACTAGATGTACAGTACCTAATGACACATTTTTAGATCTTTCACAAATCCACACAGGTCTCAAAATAGTTATTTAACTAAAAAGAAACCATATCCCAATCATTTCAATACAAGCTGAAAATATCTTAAATAAATTCTGGCATTATTCCCATTAAGGGATTTTTCTTTAAAGTATTAATAGTGTTTAGCGCCCTCCCCACCCTGAAAACAGTGGCAAGTCATTAACCCCTGCATTCTAAATGTAATCTAAATGTAATCTAAGAGTACTGCTACTTTTAAGATCAGTCCTTGTAATTCATTTTGTAAGAATTCAACTTTCTAACACTAATACTCACTAAAACAGGCATCCTTCCCAAATGACCTTATACAGCATAGTTTAACAAAAACCCACATACACAAAATCTAAGCGTTAGAGAAAAAATGAAATGTGAGCATTACCTTTGGGGTGCACACACACATCAGAAAACACATGACGATAAATGGGCTCCTATTTCACTGTTCTTATGACTTAAGAAGTGAGCATGAAAATAAAATCTTTATTTTCAGTCATTACCCACCAATAAAAGAAAGTTAGGTTCACAGTTTTAGATCTTGACACAAAGTGAACTAGGAGGCAAATTTACATCCACCAGATACAACTAATGGACCAACTTTTTAAAGTTCAAGCTATCTCGAAAGCTTGCAACATATCAGATATTGCTGTGTAGTCTCTAGTGACAGAATGCCAGCAATGGCTGACAGTGAGTGGAACTTGTGAAGTGTTTTTAATAGGTGTTTTCTATATGTTGCTAGAAATTAAGAGGTTTATAAACATATTACACATCCAGAAATGAGTTAAGATATTTAAAAGTCCAAACATACTAACCTATTAGGAGGGGTCAAAAGTCCACATGGATTAAATTAATACTTGCCTCTGGGTAGCAGGTATGTTTGTAAATATAAAATCATATTAGACATTAGCACCAGTACAGAACATGCGCGGCATCGTAAGATCCAAAACACCAACACAAGTTATTTATCATTTAAGATCAATTACCTCCTTCCTAATATATGTCAAACTGGTAGGTAACTAGATTAATAAATCTATTTCAACTGATTAACTTTTGTACTGTACAATTGCTCTTTTAGAAGTATACTGAGAGAACTAATCAGCAAACAGCAGACATTTAATGATTTAAGATTTTCAATATTTTAAAAACTGGACATTACCACACACAGGTAGAAAACTACTGAAAATTAATGAGTGACAAAGTTTTTCAACCTCTAAGTAAAATTCCTTTTTCTGCTTATCAATAAATATTGCAGAAAATAAAATCCTAGAAAACCTGTTTATTGATCATTCTCTCTATGTATGTTTTACTAAGTGCACTGCTGCTCCCATTCAGGAATCCGTTATTAACCTAATTTTCTAATAGAGGAAGAGGTAAAAGATACTTATCACCTTCTGTGGAACAGTCCAAAATTAATAGTAATACAGTAAATTCAGAAACAGTAAGATTTTTGGTTTATATTTCATGGATGGTGCTGCTGTTCCAACCTTATAAAGTAAAGCTGTCTGCTTTCCAAATTCCAAATATTAACACATTCCCGCATCTCACCATACTAACCAGTGCCCTTTGGTTTCTTTAGAACAGGAAGGGTTAAAGGGTCATTGATTATGGGTGTACAACTTTGATTTGGGACCTTTCCACAGACACAAATCATACCAAGTGGCCAGACGCAGTTTAAATATCATGCATTAGCCAAATCAACTTTGTTACACCCACCCTGCTGGAGAAGGAAAAGCCCAACACTCATAAAACTACTTTACCTGACAGGATGTGTTTGTTCTTCAACCATAAGTAGCTTAAACATCTTACTACTAGACAGTAAGGAAACTAGTTTGGTTTTTAAAATGGGAAATTCACACATTTTAAAATATAGTTCCAATTGTCAATTATAATTTGAACCTAATGAACCATGCAAGAAGATTAATAAACCAATGTGCTTTGAATTTGTTCAAGTCATATTTCTGTATATAAAGATTTAGCATATAACAGCGATCATGAGAAGTGAAAAAAGATTTCCCCAGAAATGAAAATATTAAAACTAAGTTAAAATACATAAAGTCATTAGTATTCCACACAGCATAAATTTTAACAATCAAGAGTTTACATGTCCCAGTTGACCATGTGTGTAAATGCAAAGCAGGTACTAAAACTGATATTATGTCCAATATTTAAAACCAGTCTGTAACTGGGGGAACATCTAAATTCTTAATTAAAAAACACAAATGAAGTGAAAGCTTTAAACTGGTACACATGTTCACACCTATATTTCAAGTTTGGAAATGCATATTTGCAAGCAGCAATACAAAATTTTCATGAAGAATGCATAATCTCTGAAAATTATGAAAACATCCCTGCTACCAATACATTTCTAAATACAAAACTGACTACCATATTGTTACTTCCATGTAGCAAGAGAAGTTCATTTTCAAAACAGATAAAATTCAGTCTGTAGGTGTGAATGGTATGAATGACAGTCTTTTTTTTTTTTTTTTTTTTAAACTTCTTGGTTGGGATCCTTAAGCATGCAAAACCTCAGAGAAGTAGGGTCCACAAAAGAACCAGGGTTGTCTTATGGCATCCAGTTAAGCCAGAGCTGGGAATGCCTCTGGGTCATCTACATCAGGAGCAGAAGCACTTGACTGAAAAAGAAACAAACCAAAATTAATTAATTCTCAAATCTTGCCAGTGTCTACATTTAGACACAGAACTCTAAAAAATCTTTAAGTTAAAATACTAAGTAAAATGTGCCAAATCTTTGATTTAAAGGCAAAATTTTGGATCAGAATAGGACTATAAATACTTGCAGTGAGTGTTGTCCTGAATTTCTATTTCTATCAAGACCTAGGAAAATCCCCTAGTAGCAGCATGGGTTATTTCACTTTTCTAATATATCACACAAGTAAATTCACATGGGATGTGTACATAGATTCTTTCTTTGTTGTTAAGTATTCCCATATTTAAGCAGCACATTCAATGTTAGAATAAGACCAACTGCTATTTACAACATACAACCCCCCACCAAAGCACGGAAATGGTCCACATACACACATTGGCTGTTAAAAACACCTGACCTCAGAAGAAGAGACGGAAACAAAGAATCACTATACTGATATTGCTAACCATAAAAATGTGTAATACTTAAGTTACCACTATGATCAAACACTGGAAGAACCAATCAAGCAAGTGGGTCCCCCCAGTTTGTGTATCAGATGTTGAGAATTGAGGAAGACATTATGGCTGTATCCTAGACAGACCATAGTGAACTAACCAAAAGGTTTTTCTCTAATAATGTAGTTTAATAATAAATACATGTTAAAAGCATGAACTTTGGCAGAGCTCAATCTATCAATTACTAGGGCTTATATAAAAATATTTCATATGAACTTGTGTTACATGCTTTGCAAGGCATCGAAGATTACAAAAATTAGGCCAAAAATGAATCCCAGCTCTTACATGACAATCTAGTAAAGTTAAAAAAAAAAAAACAAAAAAACAAACAAAAACACCAAGAACTACAAAGGTGTTCTCTAGTCCATCATTTACTGAGTTTCACACAATTATGCAAGGAACACAAAAGCTATGTTTAAGAGGCGAAAAGTCGAGGCAAAGGATGCAGTTGGCATTTCAGGCAGACCCAGCTATAGGTTTCCTGTAGCTGAATTCCTCTTCTGTAAAATGGGGTTGTCAACACAGTAACAAGAATTAAATGACTCACCACATAAGATGCCTAGCACTGTACCATGACAGCACCTAGTTAAGTATTCAATAAAGGATAAATTCAATTCTACTGGCAGCACCATTCAGTTGTTCAAGTGCTTTAAACAAAAATGTAACTAAAATGTAGTCTACTGTTTAAATTCATTTTAGAAAAAGAGAAGTGGGAGGGAAGAGAAACATTGATTTCTTCTTCCACTTATATTTATGCATTCATTGGTTGATATTTCTATGTGCCTTGACCTGGGATCAAACCTACAATCTCAGTATATCAGGATGACGCTCTAGTCTAACCAACTGAGCTACCTGGCCAGGGCCTAAAATGTAGTTTCTAAAAATATACCTACCCTTTTTTCCTTCTGCTTATGTGCCCAAAAGGACTTGGAGCAGTGAATTTACCAAAAGAGTTCATCCAATTTCTTGAAAGGGCAAAAAAAAGTCTTTAAAAATTACCTTGTCAGTCCTGCTGCCACGGTTTGGACGTCCACCACGTCCACGGCCACCTCGTCCTCCCCTGCCACCACGTCCTGGGCGGCCAAGGTCTCCAAAATTGATCTCCAGCTGAGACGTTATATCATTTGCTGGCTTCCGGAAATGATGGTCCATAACCGAATCTTCAGCATGAGCCTAAAAATTTCAGTAAAGGCCACTGGGTGATTACCAGGAAATTAATGCTGCAAATTTCTAAATGAGCTTTCTTCTTAAAAGACCAAAAATCCAATCTGTACATTATGTGATCTCAATTAGAGGTATATAATCAAACCACTCAAGTGGCCGGGGCCCATCTCAAATCAAACCTAATGAATCATAATCTCTAGCAGCACATTTAAAATAAGGCTGTCAGGTTAGTATTTCCCATGAAGGAACCCAATAGGGGATTAGGATACCCCTAATTTGGATCCCGATTAAGACATGGACAGATAACATAATCCTGAATTTCTTTGTAAATTAAAGAAAACTTTTGCTCTCTTTTCTTCCAATCATGAGTCAAGAAATTATATATGAACTTCTCAAGATATGAACTTCACAGGATGCTATTCTGTTCATATACAACATTTTGTATGTTCCTTTCACTCAAACGAGAGAGCTACAGATTCAAGTGAATCACAACTTTACAAAAGGGAACCTTGAAAAGCTGTGCCCAAATAAAATCAGGCCTTAAATAAATACATCAAAGGAAGGAACCAACTAAAAATGAAGTTGTCATGTTTATGAAGTCCAGATCCTACTTTGCGTTTCTGTAATAAGCTCCATGACCCAGTCTGCAAAAAAGCCAGAGAATTTCATACTACTTAATGCCTGCTTTCTTCTTTTATGTCTGGGATGAATGAATTTTCATCTTCAGGTTAGGAACTTTCCTTATACTACATTAAAGTATGTTTTAGTATTTTACATACATGTTTTATATGCATTTTAGTTTTTATATATTTCTGGAGGAATGTTGTTTTTTCTAATAAATGTCTTATAATCATTAATAACTACTCTTAAAGAGTACAAATAAATGTTGTATTTGTAGCCGTGTTTTCACCCCTTTAATCATCTAATACCCAAATTAAATGTCATCCCTTACTGACAACCTAATTTAAAGGTAAGAGAAGGCTCTTTAAAGAAGCATAAAAAATGTAAGTCCACTAGCAAATTAAAGTCAATTACATATACTAATTGTCTAATTTTTAAATGTTTGCTATTGCACAACAGAAATTTATTAATCGAAAGCTTTTACAACTTCCTAAAGCACAAAAGCAAAGTTTAGGTTGATACACTACTAAAACAGCCTGACAGGTTCTACAATAACATAAAGGAAGTCTGGATATTCAGGGTACTTCCCTAACCTGTAAGGTAACTAGTAGGATAAACTGGCAAAGCTTATAAATGTAGCTTGATAGTAAATATGTCCTGGTTTTCTAGTTATTCATAACCAATTCCACATTTTATAATTTTCAAAAATTTCTCACCATATACATTACCTTCCTTAAAACTGGGATACCTAGCCTGATGTCTATAAAATGCATGAAGAGGCTTCAGGAGGAAATCACCTTAATTTGTATCAGAATTTTGTACAAGTCTTTTTCTGGAGAAAAGTTGCCAGGACCCCAAAACAGTTATAATAAATTATCTCAAAGATGACCAATAAATCTTTTCCATATTAACCTAAACAGTTTAATAATTAATTCAAATGAACAATCTCCCCAAGGTGAACTGTCAAGGTTCTTTAATCAGAAATCCTATTTGTTTTACCCAGATACACAAAACTGTATCTGTAAGAACTATAAAAAATATCCAAAAAGTTGTTCTAATAAATCAAAATATTTTCCCCCCTATAGGACCTGACACTTAGGAGACAATGCCCTCATCTATACTATTTTTATAGACTCAATATTTTACAAAATCACCTCTAAACCTAGAAAAATATTTAAGTCTCTTTAACCTGTTTTATTTCATAATGTTTCCACATTGGTTTCACAGCTACTTTTTTAGAAAATTAAAATGTAGTAAAATCCTACTGATAATCTTTTTATTACAGGTTGCCTTCATAACATTTTAATCTAACTTTATGACTAAAATCTTATACTTACACAAGCCCTAAAAGGATGCAGCACTGGGGCATTCCCTGTAAGAATGTCCCCCAAATGTTAAATACAACCTGCCAAATCAAAAGCCACTAACATGTCTTTCTCATTAGTTTCCATGTTTTGTAAGTAAAGGAAAACTATAAATTAATTATCTGGTCTTTACATCATTCCTAAATAATGAAGGGTACTACCATCTATTGAAGAGTCCTGACCATTATATATGACATAAGCAGACAATTTCAAAAATTGAATACTAAATAAAGCTGTTCATTTTATTTTAGGTTAGCCACATGTAAACGCCAAACTTTCAATCTAATACAAGTCCTTGAATGATTACCAGTTAGTTAAGCAAGACTTTTAAAAAATATCACAACTTTGAGAAGACTCACTGTATTTCTAAAACATAGTAATTGTAGGATAAACAATTGACAGCTTTTTCTTTGGGGGGGGGGACTACAGATTGACAGGAAGACTAAATTTCTTGGAATATATGGTAATGCAGTTTATTTTCCCTTTTAAGCAATGTATCTGTCCCAAACAATCCTAAGTAAAGCTTTTCCTTTTTATAAACAGAAATTTAAACCAAAAATGATAAACACAATTCAAGATACCTCTAAATATTTCCAAAGACCACAAAACTTAACTTTACCTCTTCACTCTTTGACTTATGAAGAACAAATCCCTTCTTCCACTGCCCATCAGCACCTTCATTTGGTTTTCTGATATTAAATTCTACTTTTGCCCGGTCCTTATTTTGAATAGCCTTCCACTCATCCAAAGTCATTTCTTTTGGACCCTCTTCCTTTACTTCTTCAACTTCGTTTTCTCTGTGAAAAGATGCTTAGCTTTTACATCTAGTAGGTGGCTGACAAAAGTCTGTATTACTTATATGAAGGATCATCATTTTTATAACCCAATGGCTAACATGTAATTTGGTAGACACCAGGAATTTAATGCTTATTGAACTAGTGAAAGTATGGAGAAAAATACAATTCAACTTCACAGATTTTAAAATGATCTTCTATCAGTAATACAATCCGGAATTGGCTTTACCAAACCCAAAACACACATTTCTTAAGACCACAATACTTTACAACTGTATACTTACATAATCACAATCTTTGGCCTAGCTTCTCTTAAAACACCATTTCTAACTTCCATAATTTCCCACAATATATAACTCATAACATACATATATGAAGGTAATCATTTAGGTTGCCTGTGAAACCAAGCTTCATATTCTAGAATATAAAAAAACTGTTCCTCTATCCTTTATTTTAGCAACACTTAAGGCAAAACAAAAACTTTAAAAGCCAAGTTTATACAAATCTTAGATTCTATATAATCCAACTTTCAAACCAACCTGTGTGTGGATGAGAAACAGGTTTCACTAGCAATGAAATTCTCCACAAAACACACTGGTTTCAATACTTAATACTAAATTAGTTATTTCCAAATACAATTCTCAAATAATTATTATGTATTATCATTTTCCCTTTTTGCAGAAAGCAAGCATGGGTGTAGAAATCCATTATTTTAGTCTAATCTCAATTTCCAATAGTCACCAAACAAGTAATGCTATTTTGGGAGCTCTGCTTCTTTCCAAAGATAGCAGTTGATTCAATTATCCTTAGAGCTCAAATACCTCTCCCTTCCAGGCTACTCTGTACTGTCACAAATCCTACCTTAAAATTTCAAGTTTACATTGAATTGATGAGATATGGTTATCAGGCTCAGCTGTGAGTTTACAAATGAGAAAAGTAAGACAATTACTCTCCTAAGTTGAGGCACAGCTCAGAATGTAACTCAGCACACTTCATCACATGGAACCATGACACCTACCTTCAAGGGTTGTTGTAAGGATCAAGTGAGACAAAACAAAAGCTCTGGAAACCATATATGAGGGAGCCAAAGCCAGCCAAGCTATTTCTTAAATTCATATTTCCATATACAAGATACGATACCATGTTCAGATTCTCTCCTACTCTGGAGATTGCTCTAATATCATCATGATCGTTAGACCAAAATACCCTCAATTTCATCCCTGGGTCCTGAGTTAAGGATTTGCTTCTAAATACCCTATCAATATGTGATTTCCTTCTGGTAGACATTTATAAACTCTGCAGGTCACACTTAGGTGATTCAAACACGGGCTCTTTATTAAAGGAACAACAGTTGGGTTTAGCACTGTGAAATACTTAGTATTACATAGGCTCATTTAACTCATCCATCACAATTTCATTGTTTACCAAACAAAATTCTGATCCCATGTAGCTTCATATAAATGAATCACATTACCCTAAGTTCAACACATCACTTAACACCACATTTTTTCTCCTCTCTCCAATAGCAAATCTATTATTCCTTATTCCAACAGACCCATGTGATATGACACTGAAATCATTAACAGTGGTTCACTGTAAGAGCAATTCTTCCTGAAAAAGCAAAGTTTAGAAAAGCATCTCCTCCTCGATTGATTTGAGTATGTCCTAGTTAAAAATTACTGACCTGAATAATCTGTAAGGCAAGACTTTAAAACCACAATACTGTACAAAATGATTGGCATATAACTGCTGCTTCAATCAATAGAAACTAAAAGAAGACATTAACTTATTTCTGCCAGTGTAACTTGAATCTTTAAAACTCTCTCACCCTGTAATAAAACAAAAACTTCAAAATCAAGTCTTCTACCTAAAAACTCAGAAAATGAAAAAGATTAAGAAAGCTAGCGGGTAACATATTCTGGCCTTTGCTCTTCTCATACATTTTAATACAAGCCAATAATGGTATGTTCCATTTTCAATGTTGATGAGGAAAAAATTTCAAAGAGATAGAAAAACTAATTTTAAGGTGGTCACATTTTCTACTTTTAAGCCATCTCAAAATAAAATCTGTATAGTTATAGGGTCCAAAGTACTTTTAACTATGAGTTCTTACTACTACAAATTCTCTCATTTCAACCATTTGCTGTAATTTAACCTCCCTCCCAATTTCAGATTCCAGTTCTCACCTATTTGATGTCTCTGGACAGCTATCACTAGAATTACCTATTACTTATATATTTATTATCATTATCTCTATTTAGGTTATTAGTGAGATAAAAATGCATGGCATCTTATTCCTTTTCTCTATTTTGAGGTTAAAATAATTAATTTTTGTGCATAGGGCTAACAGGTTTTACTGAAATATGTATCTTCCTTATCTTAAGACAACAATGGTAATTTCAAATAGAAATGACCATATCTATTTTTTAAACCATTAGAACCCATTTTATACATGTGTAAAACACTCTACACAGATACTATTTTAGGAGGTTGAGGTACAACAGAAGTTTCTCCTGTTAAAAAGCCATCAAATATCAGCATTAAATCTATAGGTTTTCTTGGCAAAAACCTCAATTGATTTCAGCAATAAAGCGTTATCTCTATATATAAAACCACTTACTTATTTTCAGTGTCCGCAACTGGATGTTCTTCACCTTCAGGTGTTTCCTCAGTCACATTTGATTGCTCCAAGTCACTGCAATTATAAGATATTTGTTTCTGAATGTATTTTGGGGACTCTCTAAGGAAAGAAAGAAAAAGAAAGGCATCTAGGTCCATTTACATGTAGCTGAAGAATTTTTTATATAGAAATATTTCAAAATCCATACTTTTCCTAAAAGTCTTTTTTTCTACTAAATTTACACTCTAGTAGAACTTTAAGAGAAAATAATTTTAAAATGTATACTGATCAAAGTTACAGTAGTTTGCTCAAAATGTAGCAGGACATAACAGTTAGTTTTAAAACAAATCCTCACTGGCTTATCAAATTTTTGTAGTGACTACAAGGATCATTAGCTACAAACTATAAAGACACAGAAAACCAGAATACCCAAATAACGTCAATGTAGGGTTTTAGGAATAAGTATGTACCCATATGAAAAGAAAAAGTGGTATCATATATATTGAAATATAGAAAAATCAATAACTTGATACATTATAATCTAAACATATCCAATAAAACATTATCTTGTACGGTCATAACTCTAAGATGAGAGCTATTCCATTCTTTTCCCAAGGACAAATAAAATTTAACAGTCATGGGTGAATCTAAGTAAGGCATAGATCAATTTTATTAAAATTATTTTTAAAAAATCAGAATACCAACGTTAATTCATCTTTGACAGTTCCCCAGTTGTGAGATCCGCTACCTCCACGTTTGTCCTCGTGCTTCAGGCCACTATAATGTGAAAAAGAACTAACAAAACTGAGTTAACATAATACTCTTTAGTTCTAGAAATTCAAATTTTGTTTTATTAAAGAAGTAAACTTAAATCTAAAAATATAATAACCAATATAAGACTTACGATCTATCACTTCCACTATGCCTATCAAATTCTCGTTTGCCACGAGAATCAAATCCATCTCCTCGGCCCATTCCACGTCCTCGGCCTCCTCGACCTCTTCCAAGACCACCACGGCCTCGGATAGGCCGGTCAATAATCGGTCTACAACAAATAAAGAAGGCCATATATGTCCCGGTTTTAAGAGTAAAGAATAGGGAAATTCAAAGGACCAAAAACACAGGAATACATTTATTGACTCATAAGCGAAGAGTTAAATACATTTTAGGAAACTCAAAATGTCTGTTTCTAAACACATAAAGGAAATCAAAACAAGAAGCCACCCCCAAATCAAGAAAATTATTTTTACATTGTCTAAAACTTACTGCTAGAGCATATACTTTTTATTCATTTCATATTCTAATCCAGTAAAACTGCCACTTACCAATACACTTAACAATTAAATCTAACCTGCATGAGTAATCTGTTTCACTACAAATAACCCAACAGAACTTTCCTGTTAATATCTGGGGAAAGCAAAGAAAGAAATTGCCTATCAATTCAAGTGTTTCTGTAAGGATGAACACTAAAAACTATTTTTGAAATATCTGAAGTATAACAATGTACACGTTCAGATGTTTCTTTGAAAAACCAGCCACACTGCTACCAAACAATGACCAATTTATCTTTGTGCTAAGATGTGACTCTATAAACTGACAAAACATAATTTTTTTTAAAAACTTGCCTATCAACTGAGAATTCTCCTCCTTCACCCTTTTCTTCAAGTGGCTTTTCAAATCGTCGTTCACGAGGTGGTCGCCTTTCTGGTCTCCTATCAATTATTTTCCCTTCACCCTGAAGTTGTTGATCAGGTCTTCTTCCAACACGTCTTATTCCTAAAATGATAACCAGCACAAGCAAATTATTTTTGCAACACAAAATTTTAGGCCTAGGCTTCAAAGAAAAAGAAACTGCTAATCTTAGGGCCCACTGAGTAGTACTTACTGTTGAAAAAGGCCAACACTGGGCATCTCGAAAGTAAACACTCAAAATGGGTGAACACACCTTGTACATTTTAGATTTACACTTCAGACTCAATTTTTTTCATGTGCTTTCTTGGCATTAGTCAGATCAAAGACGTAAAGTCGAGCAGTTAGAGAAATCCCTATATAAAGACAATAATCTTTTTTCAAATTTCTATCTAGTTTGCCAAGTCATTTCCCCCCTGAAGTATTCTCTGCAACTGACCTGGAAGGCATCTGGGTGGGAAGCCATTATTCCTCTTACCTTTCAAAATGCCAGCTTCTTTAGAATTCTCAATTTAAAAAAATTCTAGGCAAATGATATGGTTTGGCTATAAAGACACCAAAGGTTAACACCAGTAGCCACTCATAATAACCAAGCAAATCCATACATATTCCCCAGATGAGGACGGGGGGAGTCGGGTCTTGGGGAGTGTTTTGGAGGGGAAAAAAACCTCAACAAAAACTGATAATTCTATGAAATTATAAAATTTAAAGGAAAACAAATGACATTTAAAATCACGCCTCCGTAGTTTGAAATAAAGTACCATCCTCTTATCAGTGTATATGTATATATACACACCACACCTAACAAAAAAAACTGTTGTGCAACAATAGGAAATACTCATTATTTTACTATTAAGGATGGAGAGTGTTTCTTTTGGTTTGCTGGTACCAGTATATTTACTGATTTTCTCCTTTATTACTTTTGTCCTGTTAGTGTCTTAAGGTCCACAAAAGCAACCAATATGCATTATTGGTGACCTTAACAGTAAGTAGATTGATGGTTAAATTCATGACTAAAATTTTAGATATGGTATCATTCCCAAACCACAATTTATGACAAAGTCAAAAGGCAGCTCAGGAATTGTTTTTTTTTTTTTTTTAAACAAGTTCTCAAGTTAATTCAGTCTGGTTCTTTCTAAGAACAATTCACCCACTTGTTAAGGTGACTGTAAATAACTACAGTCAAACAGTAAATATCAAACTCTTCAATGAAATTTTAAAGTCCATTCCACATAAACTCTCAGGATAGGCCACACTGTTAGATCTCATACCAAAACATTTTAAATAAATTTCATCAGAGGTAGTGTATTCGGGTGGAGCTGAGCTATGGAACTAGTCTTTATAATGATATCTAAGCCAAACACACCCAATAAACAATGCCTTGCTTCCCCACCCAATATTCAATATTAGGCTTACAGAGTCTAAAAGCTTACCAAATACATTCATTCACCCAATAACTGACATTTAAAAACGCATGCTTCTCTTGATATATTTACCTGTACTTGCAAGCTCTCTTCATGTTCACTAGATTCCGGGCTTTTAATATTTTTTAAAAATCCCACCTTTGTCTACTATGTGATATACTGTGGTGTCACTTCTCAAGTTCTCCAAATGGACAAAAAATGAGCTACAAAAGCTAATTCTTATAAAGACTAAATATAGATCTAGGGCATATCTAGCACTGGACCAGGAGCAATCTTCAAAGGCACAGAACATACACCATCAGGACTAACAATCCTTCCTAACACAAGAGGAAGATACTGTTTATAGGTCTATCCTCCTCCAACGCCAACATCAAATGACAGACAGCAGGATCTCAAGACAAGTATTTTTGCTTCATTTGTAAATTTGTGTTTTATGTAATTTAAAGTTAAGACTGCTCTGAAACACTGATTTAAAGACTATGAGGATAGCTAATGCAGGAAATTTCCCAAGGAAAAACTACAGAATGACAAACTCAGTCCTGGTTATGAATTTATGAAATAATTCCATTTTTGTCACTTAAAATGCTAGTTTCCAGATTAGACCTTACTTCAAAAATGGGCTTTATGATCAAAACAACTGAGGCATTTCAGACACGCTTCATCCTTTGAACATTCAAAATGGGTGAACAAACCTTGTACATTTCAGATTTACACTTCAGACTCAATTTTTTTTCATGCGATTGAGATAAGTCTGATCAAAGACATAAAGTTGAACAGTTTAAAGAATTACACATGCCAGTGTTCCTTAACACAGAAATTAAATGATTTATTCAGTTGTGCTACAGGTTGCTATAAAGCTTAGTTGACAAAATAGATATTCGGTTTAAGCAATGTAACATGCTTTCTAATACTCTCAACTTGTGCTTCTCCCAATCTGTAATTTTAATAATACAGGAGTTACTGTTTTATTCACTACTTCGGTTCTTCATTCCAAACCTCAGAGAAATTATATTTTAAAAACAAACAAACAAAAAACCTAAACCAATACCTAACACAATTTTTTTTTAATGAGTTGAATGCTAACGAGTTCAACTAAAGCTAATGAGAAACAACTCCTTTCCGGAGCACGTGGCAGTAAAGCGAAACTTCAACTTTAAACAAGTAACACCAACCAAGACACGGAGCTTTGGTCGGTCTTACACCTATTTGTTACTGATCACTTTTGCCTTTCCTCGTCTCCAACTGTATTTGCTTTTTAGTTCACCACAAAAGACAAACTTGTAATGAGCGAACACACAAAATTCAAGCTTATCACACTTCTGTTGAGTTTACAGTGTGACCTGGAAGCAACTATTACCCGCCAATGAAATCCTGACCATGCTTCCCGCACACACGGAGAAAAAGCGATAGACTCAAAAGAGCTCTCTCTGCTTCGGCTAACGTGACAGCCTCTGCACTCATTCCACCACGAGGTCCCAGCCAAGCCACACAAGAAAGAGTGCGGGGGGTCGGAGAAAGGGTCGTGGATTTCCTGACACAACCAATCTTCGTTCAGAATTCCCGCTCTGTCTGTCTGAATGCACACAGCCAAACTTCTCTCTTCCCAACAGCTTAACGAACTCTAGCAACTAAGTTTAAAATAGCTTGGGGGGAGGACAATAAAGCGCATGTGGCACCTAAAACTGCAATTGTACTTCCACAGTATCTAGTAACCTCAGAGAAGGGGCTTGGTGTAAATTCCGACCCCCGGCTTTTCACTGAGGTACTCCGCGCCATCGTGGGACAAGATGGCAGGACAGAAGCGCAAAACAGACAACAGCACCTCAAAGCAGCACTCTGAAGGAGAGCTGCGCGGTAAGAAGCTTGGGGACCCCATGCTTCCCCATAACCTCAGTCCCTCTGACGCCCGAAAGATTCGGCGGGAAGGCAACAACCTCCCTGGATTCCGAGCACGCTGAGTAGCAGCTCATCGACCGGCCACGCTCCTCCGCTTAGAACCTGAGGCGGGAAGAGGCTCCAGGAGGCTTGCAGGCGGTGGTTTGAACTTGGGGCTACCATGCTCGCAGGACCTGGTTTTTGTCATGGGGAGAAACGTGAGGAAATCGGCGGCAAACCTCCAGCAGACGCCGGGAACTCAAGAAGCAAGTGGTAGCCACAAGTCCGCCCCGCTCCTTCTATCATCCCCACGCTCTAGCAATTTACCTTCTTTCTTAAGCGCCACTGGCGGCTGCGTGTCCTCTTTCTTGTCAGCCACGCCAACGTTGGACGGCAGTGGGTTTTTGCGATCTTTCTGGGACTCTTTACGCAGCTGTTTGCCTGCCGCATTGGAGTTGGTCTGGGCTGCGGCCTGAGCTGCGCTCTTGGCCCCAGGGCCCCCAACACCGCCCCCGCCGGCTTCTTTTTTCTTGTTTTCTGCTGCCTTCAACACCTCGAAGGGGTCCGATTCGTCGTCAAATAGCTGATCGAATCGGTTGGTGACTACACAGCCGAAGCCTTCCTGTAAATGCCCAGGCATGATGGTGGCTCGGCGGCGCGTTCCTCCACGGATTGCAGCGGGCCGCGCCGAGCCTAAAGCGCCTGCTTCAGCTGTTCCCACAAGATGGCCGGGCCGAGAAAGGGGGGTTGTCTTCTCTTCCGGCGTCAAGCACACATCCGGAGCGGCCAGCGCCGCAGGGCACCATGGGATAAATAGGCTAGAGTTGCTTCTACTGAAGCGGCTCCCGGCCTCAGAACTACAATTCCCAGAATGCATGGCGCAACAACTCTTCGCGCTCGCCACTGAGGCGGGACCTCCCGGAGGGCGTGGAGCTAGCGAGCTGAGGGAGTGGAAGCGCGGTGGTGGGCGGAGTTCTGCCACCTGCTCTTGCCACCCTTAAACTCTCAATCTGGAGCTGTGCTGAAAACAGGAAAACGTGACTGCGTAGATTGCTCTCGAGAGTATTTTGCTCTCGAAAGTGGTCTTTGGTTTTACTCTCACGGTCTCCGGTCCAGGCTAACTTTCCCCACCTTTCCGGGAGAGTCAAGGTGACTCCCACATCATAGAACTGTAGACTCACAAACTTCCCGGGCTAAGGGGGTTGCCAAAGTGCGGCACTGGCCTCGCCTAGGCAAGACCCGACCTGTTTCAATTCAACTCCCTCGCCGCTCAGTTGCTGGAGTCGTTCTCCTATACCCCCAATAATGAATCGGCACTTTAACGTGAAGCAGAATACGTTTTCTCTCGCAGGGAAGTTGGATAGCAGAATTCATCAAAAGGACAAGTTGAACTACCACATGGCAATTTGTGTGCCTTTCCTGGGTAAGAAATAAGGTTTTGCGACGGATGCTTTAATTACAGTTCACTCCTGACAGTGCTGCACTAGCTATACACTGGGCAGGCCTCGAAAAGGCAGTGGTTGTAGAAATACTTTTAGAGTTCATCCACTTGTCCATTAATGCCCTGCAAGCCAAGGATTAGGTGTTAGTAAAATGTGCTCAAGAAATAACATTTTAGAGCATCTGAGTGTATAGGTGTGCTGAGAGGTGCAATGAGGGAGGGAAATGTCAACGAATTGCCATTTATTAAAAGTATTGATATTAATTAAGAATATTAACGTCTGTTAAGGTAATTGAATGTCAATACATATTCAAGAATATTTGGTAACTTTAAATATATCATAATTTAAAAAATTATTTCCATTAACAAAAAATATAATAGAAAATGCATCTCTGTGTTCCAGGAGCTATAAATAACCTTAATCTGAACAACTTTTTAGGTAGGTATTTTCCACTTTTCACTGATGAAAACCATTTCAGAGGTGAAATGACTTACCAAATTCACACCTCTGTCTAAAGTGATAGTGCCAGAAGTTAATTCCAGCTTCTAACTCCACTAAGGGTGTTGACACGAACTCTTTAATCCAAACTCTTTCCAATACTTAATAAGATTTAAATATTGCTGTGTTTCAGGCAGACTATGCAACATGACTGAATGTGATCTATAATTTTGAGCGGATATTAAATAAATTCCTTAACAGAGAAAATGGAAGACAGCCATATCATAGGCACATGGCAGCGAGCCTGGTGGTTTTCTCCTTTCTAACTCTAGCTCCTACTCCTCAAAGTCACCTGTTTCTCTGTTGCCTCAGTCTCTGCCACACACACACACAGCCCACCCTTCCACAACTTCTGGCTCTTGTGGCTCCTACCAAGACAAAAGACAAGGAGTTTTTTACCATATTCTCCATATGTCCTTTGAGAATAGCGTAAGTGCAATTTTGAAGGTCTCCATGCTTTAAAAACCTTTTCTCTTTACCAAGGACTGTTAATACCTGCATCTTTGAAACACATGCAAGTTACCTCTTTCTGGCCACTGCCACAACAACAATACTAAGAGCTAAAACTTTATATTTACTATGTGCTGGAGCACTTTACATGTGTGATCTCATTTTATCCTCACATCAACTCTATGAGAAAGTATTATTTCATCTCTAAGGTGAGGAAAATGAAGCACAAAGAGACTAAGTAACTTACCTACTGTTGCCATGGTCTAGGGAGTGGGGCTGACCTATCCTCAGCCATTTTTATCCTGTGTATAGATCCCTCATTTCTTCAAACAGATTTTTATGATCACCAAGCATCATTACAATAAGAATATTTAAAGATAAATTATACACTGGGGAATTGTACAGGAGTTTCACTTATACACTTCAGATAATTTATCTACTAATATAACATAAAAATATATAAACAAACACTTGGGGGAAAGGGGAAAAACTTGTAAGCACTTTCAACTTCCTCATCCCCTTTCTTCTCCCCTGGAATTTTGGTTAATCCAGGAAAGTTTTAAAGACCCTTTTTAAAGTATGCAAATAAAGCTCAAAATGGTAATTCTTTTACATCTCAAATCAATTATTTTCTTATAAATAATGATTTTCGCTGAAGTTTCCTTTCTCCTAAGAAGTTAAAATAGTTTAAAAATATATTTAAATGTCCCTGCCACTCTCAATAGAAAAAATATTGCTGAATAAACCTCAAGGGAGGGCTCTGGCTGGCATAGCTCCTTTGGTTGGGCATCTTCCCACAAAGCTAAAGGTTACTGGTTTGATTCCTGGTCAGGGCACATTTCTGGGTTCCAGGTTCAGTCCCTGGTCGCGGCTTCTAGGACAAACAACCTATGGATGTTTCTCTCCCTCTCTCTCTCCCTCCCTTCCCCTCTCTCTAAAAATAAATAAATAAAGTCTTTTAAAAATACCTCAAGGGAGGAAGAAAAAAGAGTTATTGGCAGACTATTACTCAAATTAAAGGCATGAGTTGTAAAGTGACAAGTTATAAGATATCACTGATTAGAAACATAGCCTAAATTATCAGTTCTGTAGCAAGCTTGAATCACACAATGTTATCTGAAAAATACACAACTTCACAGCCTCATCTATAACAAATGCTCTAAACAGTAAACACTGAAAACTATCCGCATATCTTGATTAAATGTCCAATATGGTTGCCTAATGTTTATGAAACTGAGAAATAATGTTATACCTTTTTATAGCCCTCACTTGCTTTTAGGATGCTAATACTCAGTTCTTAACTACATTACAACTTGTTTTCACCCATTTCTTAATAATCTCAATACCCCATTACTAACTGTTGCTATATCATGATCATAATAATTAACAACTGTAATTCAAACCTTTACTAAACACTTGACACTGTGCTAGGTACCTCGCATGCATTTTCTTCTTTAATTCTCAGAACAACACGAACTAAGTAGTGTCACTATCTTTACTCTCATTTTACAGATAGAGAAACTGAGATTAAGAACCTCTCCTAAATTTGCATTGCCTGAAAGAGTCCAGACAGTCTGATCTCACAGTCTGGACACCCAACTATTCGCTTCTCAAAATGTTAAACCTACTATACTTGTGAGGGACGTGGTATAGGGGACAAAGTCCTCCATCCTTATATTGCTACCACTTAGCAAAGGAAAACTATTAATCTGTTAAAACACTTTGGTGACACTAGATATAGGCACTGCATAAAATGTACATAAGAGATTCTAATTTTTAATGTACTCAAAATACATTATGCATTTTTAAAACAAAAGCAGTAAAGGTGGTTCTTGAAGAAAGGGCAAATCTTCTGTGTCTGAGGATGGACTGCTAAGTATAATCTTGCAAGTCTAGGCCCATAGAAATATTACATTCTCTATTTTGCCACCTCAAATTTACTGTGAAGATTTATCCTCTTGATTTTAAACCTCCCTCTTTTCCTATATTGTATTCTTAAAAATACAAACAGCTATTTGTATTTTTATTGAGAATTATATTGAGATATAATTCACATGCCAAATAACTTACCCATCTAAAGGGTACTATTAAAAGGCTTTTAGTATATTCACAGAGTTGTACAATTATTATCATTATCTAATTTTAGAACATTTTTTACCACTACCACCACCTCCTGTCCTCCTGCAGCCAAGGAAATCCATAACCATTAAGAGTCACTCCTTATTCTCTCCCACCCCAGTCCTGGATATCCCATAATCTACTTTCTATCTCATGGATTTGTCTATTTGGACAATTCATATAAATGAAATCTTAAAATATGTAATCTTTTATTACTGACTTCTTTTATTCAGCACGATTACTAGGTTCATTCATATTATAGCATGTATTAGTATTTCATTCCTTTTTATGACTGCATAATTTTCCATTATATATAGAGACTATATTTGTTCATTCACCAGTTAATAGACATTTGGGTTATTTCTGCTTTTTGACTGTTATGAATTGTTGTTTGTAGGGATTATGTGGACATATGTTTTCATTTCTCTTGTACATATATCTAGGAAGAGAATTGCTGGTTCATATGGTAACTTTAGCTTTAACATTTTGAGGAGCCAAACTGTTTTCCAAAAAAGCTGCATTGTTTTACAATCCCACCAAAAATTATAAGGGTTTTGATTTCTCTACATTCTCACTAATGCTTATTATTATCTGTTTTTTTAAACATAATCATTCTAGTGGGTGAGAAGTGGTACCACATTATAGTTTTGATTTGTATTTCCCTAATGGCTAAGGATGTTGAGTATATTTTCATTTGTTATTGGCCATTTTTATTTTTTCTTTGGAGAGTGTTCATTTGGATCCTTTGCTATTCTCTAACTGGTATATTTATCTTTTTTATTGTTGAGTTGTAAGAATTCTTTATATATTATTGACTCAAGTGCCTTACCAGTTTTATTATTTGCAAATATTTTACCCCATTCTGTAGGCTGACTTTTCACTTTCTTGGTGTTATCCTTTGCAGCGTAAAACTTTAAAATTGATGTAGTTTTTTGTGGTGAAGTCCAGTTTGTCTATGTTTCTTGTCACTTGTGCTTTTGTTGTCATATCTAACAAGGCTTTGCCTAGCCCAGGGTCACAAAGGTTTACTTTGATGTTTTCCTCTAAAAGTTTTATAAATTTTTAAATAGTTTTAACTTTAACATTAGGCCTATAATCCATTTAAAATTAATTTTGTATTCACTTTATTTCCCTGTCTTTTAACTTAAATTAATTTTGAATTTAGATCAAAAAGAAAAACTTTAGAAGAAAAAAAGGATACTGCTATTATTCAAACTATTCTTGTTTTTAAAATATTTTATCTTGAA